ATTTTGTGGAAAATCTGCCTTAAATTATATATAAAAGAGTAAAGAAAACAAGCAAAAACAAGACGAGTCAAAGAATTCGGCAATGCAAAGCGCATTTGCTCATGACAAAAACATCCAAATTAAATAACCAACAATACAAAAGAAAAACAAAATGTACTCAAAAAAAGAAAGAAAAACAACAAAATTCAAAATCGTCGTCAAAAGGCGCTGCAAATTTCAAAATTCAAAAACCAAAATAACAAAAAAAAAAATAAAAGGAAAATCAAGTAAATTGAACAAAATTAAGGTTTGAAGCTCAGATGAAATTGCAGAACATCAAAACCACAGAACCACAAATAAAAAACAGGAAAGGTTTTCTCTACTTTATTATGCCCAAGAATAAAACTAAGAAAATAAGAAGAAGAAAAACATATATACATAAAATGCTTAAAATCTTGTGTTATTAAACCCTTTGTAAATCTTTAGGTGTATAAAAAGGAAAATATAAACAAAATCATGGACAGTACTTAAGTTAGATGTTGATGCGGCAAAAATTTATAAAAAATAAAGAAATGTGTATGTAAAAATTGTAGACAAGAAAATTATTGAAAAGATATCGAAAATCGAAATTCAGTCCCTACATATTAGTTCTAATAATGCGTATGTATATCCACGTAGACCTATGTAATATACGATTATGAAGTGTACCCCAGTTTCGAATATTTCTGTTTGATTAACTTTGTGTAGACCCCTTGAGATTTGCGCTTGATATTTCTGAACAAATGTATGGATCAGTTAGGCAAACCGGTTTTATGTTCAAATTGACGTTTCAGCGGCCATTTTGTTTGGTTAATTCTGTTACAGCATGGCAATACAAACTTGAATTAATTCACTTACTTCCCTGCAACCCGGAAAACAGAGACAGAGACTTGATTTGTGTGCCAGGCTTAAGTGTGAACAGTTCTCAAGCCTGAAATAAAACCAAAAGTGCAAGGCAGTAGCCCGAAGAATATCATGAAATGAAATGGGGGTTAAGCTGCCTGCATATCCTGGACATCCATGACCGTTTTGTAATCAATAGCACTGAAGGCAATACAAAATTCAATCAAAACAAAAATGGTTAAAGGCAACAGATGCAGATGCAGATGCAGAGCAAAAGACAAGGCTAAGAAGACATGTTTCGAATCAAGGAATTTCGGTAATATTTCGAACGAATCTTTCGGCGAGTTTCGAACAACTTTCGATTACTTAAGCTTTTGTTGTTAATTTGTTATTTTGCGACTACGTCTCCACGCACACAACCACAAGATAAACACCAATCATCAACAACAACAAGAATAGAAACAGAAAGTGATAACGAGTTAAGCAAAAGTTAAAAGCAATTTTTGATATGGGGCCACAACGTCCGATCTAAAGTGCCTTCATGTAACAAAAATAAAAACCAAAAAACAAAAAAAAAAAAAAACTGTTAATTTTTTATGTAACTAAAAAAATACAAAAACCAAAAATGAAATTACTAATAAAATTGTATAAAAAATTAAAATTGTAAAAAGATAAAACAAATTTAAAAATCTAAGCGAAAAACAAAAACAAAATGAAAAGGCTCCAAATAGACCAGCATTTAAGCAAATACCAAAACTGTTTAACAACTTGGCCTGGCTACGAAGTCTCTCGGGTCTTGCAAAACAACCAACCATTAACTCAACCAAAATAAATATTCTCAGTTGATCAAAGACAAAATTCGATCGGGAATAACAAGGCGCAACTCTCAGGATCTATCATAAACGAAATTCCCCATTAGCAAAGTTGGCATTAATTGTCTAAGTAGGCGATATACATACGAGTATATAAACGTGTATTTAGTTATAGTATGTAAACAAAAAACAATACAAAATTAATACAAAAAAGGAAAATACGTATGAAAATAATGATTTAGTGTTTAGAAATGAAAAGGTTTGGATATACATTGACTACTCTTACGAGGCATTGGCCTAACACACATAGCGCTGAGTTGCTCATTAATAAATGTATTACTTTCTATCCCACACGTACACACACACACACACACACACACATACATAAAACACTGTACTACATTTAGTTTAGATCTTAGGTGGATATAACGAAAAACAAAACACATACATATTTAAAAGAAAAGTTAAGGTAAACGAACGATTACAAGAAAACTAAGAACGGCATACTTAAAGAGGCGGCAATAAGCTATAATGCAACTAAATTTAAGCTAAAACTCAACTACCGATACGCAAAAACAAAAATAAGGAAAAAAAAGCAAAAAAACAAAAAAAGTATATATATAAAATAAAATAATATGTATGGAAAAATTGAATATTTGCATATGTGTGCATATAAACAAGAAAAGGCATCTACATATACATATATAGGAGGTAGAGGCGAGCAGTGAAAAGAGCAAGCAGTTCACTGAGAACAAAACTAAAAGACTAAAAGGAAACCAAATAAATAATATACGAGTGTCCCTTTTATGCTTCTTTCGCCCATTTCACACACACACACACACACACACACATACACACAAACGAAAAGAAACATATAAATTTGCATTATTCAGTTTAGAATATTGAGTTGTGACTTAAAACATACTTCGAAACATTTTTAAGAAAAAACAAAACAACTAGCGAAAATTAGCAAAATTTAAAATTTACAATTTATGAACATTAATTATTATTAATTTATGAATATGCATTCATTTAAGGGTGTTTACACGCACACACACTATGTATATATAAGTATGTATGAATATTCATTTATCGATTATGAATTACGAATTACGATTCACAATTTCGGAGCTCAACACAAAGATCAGCAAACAACCAAAATCCAATTTATTCTTTACTCATTACGTATACGTAATATATATGGATCGGAAGCAAGGAACAGAAGTAAATGTGCATGGGTTTTGCTTAGAACCACTTTAAATGTATTTACCATATTCGGCAAACATTACGACATTCCAAATTTCCAACCTCTAGGCCAAAGTCAAACGCATCGTTTTCGATTGATTGATGCGAAAGTCTAAAATTCTGAACTTCAGAGACAAGTAAAAAGAAATTCAACTGCAAAAATAACTTTTATTTAAGTTTTACGAAAGCAAAAACAAAAAGATAAACAAAAAATGAAATGTTTTTAGTTATACAACAATAGACCGGAATTATTTCCAAGAAATAGTACAAACAACTTTAGAAATAACTTTTATAATGTAATTATAAAGTAAGCGATAATTAAAGCGCTCTAAATATATATGCCAAATAAAGATCTAAGTACGGAGGGCTTCAAATCAAACCAAATTATTTATTTGACAGCAAGAAGAAAATTCAATGTTCAAATATTAAATTGGCAGATTAGAGCGCTGTTAAATAAAAAACAAAAAATCAAGACCCTCAAAAGCATATACGTTTATATTATATTTTAATTTCAACTTATACACACAATATGTTCTTTTTGTATTTTGATTATAACTAAGCGGAATTTAAAGCCACAAAATCAAAATGACAAATGAGCCTGGCACTAATAATATTTTCTAATTTCCAACTTGAGACCATTAAAATAAATATAAATACAACTATTGTATTTCATTTTGAAATTTCGAACTACATTTCAAATGAATTGAATAACTTAACGTACATACACATATATGTAAAACTTTACTTTCAACACAATGTGGAAAGGAAACACAGAACAAAACAAGGAGAGATCTGAAAAACAGTAAATTTAATGGCAAACAATTTACAATTATAAGTATATGTAATAACAATAGAAGACATAACCCTCTACGAGACCCTCCTCCCTACAAAGAGCAGAAACACAAACACATACATATTTACTATTTACCACAATAAACAGTAAATAATTATGAATGTAATACGCAAGATGCATACATGAAAATCGAAAGTTTCACAATTCAATGATGACAATGACTGCGTATCATGCATCATTCTATACATTAAATTTAATATGATTAACTCATTTCGAAAGCAAAAATCAGAAATCACAAATACCTATCTATGTATATATGCATACATGGTATGATTTCGGTTTCGGTTTCGGTTTCAGTTGAAATTCGCATCCGTATCTATTTATATTTTACTCACTTTTGGTGTACATTTTGAAATCTTCGAAACGTTTGTCTGGACCGTAATGCAGAAACGAACATTCATGCAGACTCGCACAAAATTTGTAATTTTCTCGTAAGGCAAAAATCGACAATTTGGTTTTGTATTTCGAGACAACATTTAGAATAAACAAACAAAAAAATAAGAAAAAATCAACAAAAAAAAACCATAGAACGTAACGCAGCATTAACTGAAAAAAGTGTAAGAGAAAAATTTAAATATTTGGTATATAAGCAAATATGAATACATAAATTTATATTTATGCAGCAACTGTAAGGAATAAAAATAAAAACAAAACAAAAACAAAGAAATAAATGCATGAAGGGAAGGTAAAACAACAAAACACTAAACTATAATATAACATTTTTAATCGAAAAAAACCAAAAAAAAAAACTACTTATTTTATTGAAAATTATGTAAAATTTACTAAAACAACAAAAAACACATAATAAAAGTATATTGTTTATTTTCATCTTTAAAAATAAAGTTTTAAAATCGTATAAAAATAGTAAAAAAAAAAATTTCACGTTGTTTTATTTTGAGGGTAATACATGGCATTAAATTTGAGCTCGAAAGCTATTTGAGACGGATTAAGTAATACAATGATTAATAGAAGCAATTTAGAAATTTTACCCGATATTTCTAAAGTTATAAGTTAGGACTTTGACTAACAACTACAGCTATATTAATATATGGGTATTTTTCTCGGGATGGATTGTGCCGGATGTACAGCTGGATCATACAGATATAGTCTTCAAAGATATTTTTGTACGCGCCAGTTAGATAGCGACGGTTATATAAATACTAAACCAGATGGCAACGATTGCACATGCTTGCAGCCCTGACCATATGTTGGCCTATCGATAGTCGATACAAGTAATCGGTTTAACCACATACGAGAAGAAGCAGCACATTACGCAAAAGGTGTTTCGGCTTAAAGATTAATTGTTTATGAAAAATGTCGCTGCTCAGCGCACTTGCCCGGTAAATAAGTGACATTCTAAACAAACGACTGTTTTTATAACATACATATACATTTCATTCATAAATAGGCTCAGTCTACAGAGCAACAGTGTTGCCGCACGTTTCCTGCACACATCGCCAGTGCTTTGCGCCGAACCCTTGAAGAAAAAGAAAAAACTCGACCCGCAAATCATAAAACAGAGAGAGGACCGTAAGAAAAAGAAAATCGAGAAGCAGATTCGCAGGCTAGAGAAGAATGCGCGTCAACTGAAGCCGGTGGAAGAACTGGAGGTGCCTTTAGATTTAATTGACAACAAGGCGTAAGGCGATGTCTTGTGTTGACCCCTGGTCCGATTAATAATTCACTTATTTCTTAGTCAACGAGAACGAAAGCTTACTCCTTTGAGCGCAGAAGAGCTAGAACAGCGGGCACTGCTGAAGAAACAATGGGCCCAATACAAGCACGAGCAGAAGGTGGCAGATTTCCAAATTATTGACCGCTTGGTCCAATCACAAAACAAAGCGCTGGAGGAGCTACGACGTGAGTCCGAAGAGCTTTACCAAGCGGCCATTGCAATAGACATGACACTGCTGCCCGTCTCTGTAAAAGGACCCGTCGCAACGCCCCCTATCAAAGGCTATATAAGCCCTGACGGCGACTACATACACCAGACAATGAAGTGGGAATAAAACGGAGTTAACTAATTTAAGTAAAAAGAAAAATTGTTAATTTGTTTATTTCAATTAAAACATAAAAGTGATCCAAATATTTATTTTATTTTGAAGTGATTTAGAGCAAAGGCTAAGGGTATTCAACAGCTTGATCATGACAATTATGATTCATCAGCTCGCTGTATAACTAATCAGATGTAAAACGCTGAATTAGGATGTTTGCACATTCATTAAATACTAAAGCTTAATTTCTGCATTGTATTTATTATAATCGAGAACAATAATTAAAGTGAAAAATGCAATCGCGTCTCCTTCGTTTAAATATAATTTTGAAAGCATTGCGAGTTGATTATATATTTGTAAATGTTTTGAGTTCTCCTCGGGCATCAGATACCAAAATAATATATATTCCAATAAATAAATAATATATAAGGGACAACACCCGATTACTTTGTGTAACATCTTGATTATTTCATTTTTTTCTGTTAACTTTTGCACGAGTTATCTAGGAAGGCGTAGTAGAGGCATTGTTCTTAGCTGCGGCCTGCCGCTTTTTAACGCCCCAGTTGTGCACCCTCGCCATGTTTACTTCGGTTGTGGTAATTTGATCTCTGTGGAGAGGTAAAAGTATGTGAGTGCATATCACGACAAGCAGCTATAATCAACGCACCTGAGAAAGTCTTGGTCGTGTTCGACAGACTTTAGATTGCCAACAGCAGATGTAATATTTTGCTTTAAGAGCGCTTCCGCTTCGTCGAGAGGATATTCCAGCATAACACTAGCGCCCAACCAGAGATAAACCGTTTTTGTAGGCGGCACCAGCGTTTTGATGAACACCTGATCACTGAGTAGAAATTGCGTTTCACGCTCTTCGTCCTCTTTGCGCAATACATTGACCATTTCCAACGAACGCTCCAGATCGGGTATCTGAGATTTAAGCTTGTGACGGCGCGCCTCTAAGTTATAGGCCATGAATCGATACTTGCCATGCTGTTCGTCCAGTCGTTGCAACACTTTCTCGCAGTTTTCGTTCTCCGGCTGTGACATAAATGTATCAATTTCTTCCTGCAAAACGAACGCGATTGATGATTAATAGGAAATATTGTCTACAGCTGTTTTTAAGCTATGCACAATCTAGGTTAGAATTACAATTGACTCGGCAGCGAACTTATACACGAAACTTCATACTTACTAAAAATATTGCTTCTGGTATCCCCGCGAAAGTTTTTTGGTTTTCCGGTAATTTTGGCATTTCTACTGTGTCCATAATTCCAGTCATATTGCTTTTATTTCCTATTTATCCTTATAAAGTGTAATAAATTTACAGCAGGTCAAAGGCGGCAGCAGCAGAGCAATGCGATTATTATAAAAACAGTGCTGTACAATGTTTCTCCAATACAATTAATAGTACCAGTATTTTATAGTTACTGGTGCTATCGCATACTGCAGAATTAAAAAAAATTAGCGAAATTAATTAGTTGAAGACCTAATTATAGAAACTTACCATTTATAAATATTCTATCTATTTTTTTTTTTAGAGCATAAACAGAAAAATGTCACAGTTGTATTCTTTATTTAGTATGTCACTGTGACTATAAAATCATCGCAATATTCAACTTTAAAATGGCAGTGTTATAAAATAGCCCAAATAAGTTTGAACAGAACTTACACATGTGCTGCGATCTGCTGCGGCTAATATCATAGCAAAGCCATTGTGCAGTTTCATTTTAGTTGAATTTGATATTCTGTCATGTCGAACGCCGAAGTTGGCATCGGTGCCGTGCGCGGGGGCGGCGATTCTGTAAAACAAGCTATAATCGAGGAGCTGCAGAATCTGTTAAGCTCGGACACAACTGTTTTGCAACAGGCAGAAAAGCGTAACAAGCAATTGCAATACACGGAAGGTATGCATGCGAATTGGCGGGCAAATAAAGGCGTTGTCCTCTCGATACTAATTGCTTTGAATTTCAGGGTATGGAGTCTACTTGTCGGAGATAATTATGAACCAATCACATGAGCTGCCATTGCGTCAAATAGCGATTATAATGCTGACCCGGTATGTTGAAAACCATTGGGCGGATCCGGATGAGAGGGACAAAGCAGGTGGGCATATGGCTACCGAACAGGCTAAGCGTACAATCCGTAACATATTGCCCAATGGCCTGTACGATCCCAACTCTAAAATACGCTCATCGGTGGCTCACACAATATCCACAATCGCGGCAACAGACTATCCACATTGTTGGGCAGAACTCTTTGACATTATAGTCAAATGTTTAGGTGGCAACGAGGATTCCATACATGGTGCTATGCAAGTATTGCAAGACTTTACCTACGATGTAGATCAAATCAAGGAGCTTGGTCCTGTGGTTATACCTGAAGTATATCGCATATTCGACTCGGAACAAAACTATTCGATAAAAACGCGAGTTTCTGCGATACGAACGTTGAAGCAACTATTTACGTCCATCTCGGCACTCATAACGGACAAGCAAGAGCAGAGCTCCATGATGAGCTCTATTCTGTCTAACTTTATGGACAAGCTTGTGCACTATCTCAGCATGAATTGCGGGGCTGGATCTAGCTTTCTGCTGCGCTCCGAAATCATAAAAGGTATCTAAACTCTAAAAAATTAATATTGTTTTGTATAATATCAATTGCTCACTCGCAGTGTTCAGTTATCTGGTGACTGATATGCCGAAGTATATAAATCCGTTTATGGATCGCATCTTGCCAATTATTTGGCAGTTGCTTACACAAATAGCGGAAACCTATGTAAAGGTATCTGTCAATCAGACGGAAGCGAATCCCTTGGCAACTAGCGAATACGAAGAAGAAGATGAGCAGACCAATTTCCAAACGCTGATAATACAAATTCTCGAGTTTATTAACTGCATTGTCACCTGCGGCAAATTGCGTGGCAATATTAAGAATGTTCTTGCGGATTTAATTTATATAACTATCGTGTATATCCAACTCGGCGAGGAGCAGCTGGAGGACTGGCAAGAGGACCCAGAGAAATTTGTAGACGACGAAGACGACGGTGGAGTCGAGCTAACTGTACGCATGTGTGGTCGCGATGTTCTTCTGGTGAGTCGCTCTTAAATATGAGATCAAAATACAAACGTATTCCTCTCAATTACAATGAATTCAGGGTATATGAGTATGAGATGGAATAGTCAGAAATTGAGGCAGACTATGCTGAAATTGTAGTCCTCAAGAGAACTATATTACACAAGAATCTGCTGTCTATTCCATATAGTAATGATAAATATTAATGTACAGCATAATATTTGTGAGCAGCTTAATGAGACAATTCGCATTAACTATGTGTGTTTATCTATATGACTGTATAAATGTGTCTCTGTCTGTAACAAAGGCAAGTAATGCCTTGCCGTACGCAGCAGTATTCATTTGGTATTTGTATTTAAGTAAAACGAAGCGAGAACCCTCGTAGCAGCAGAGAGTTCTCTCGTCGGTCACTTAAAGCTCAAATGCAACGACATCTACCTGGCGCCAGGCTCAACATTTGAGCGCGACTGAGTGTGTGAGAGTCTTCATATATAAAGGGCAGCAACTGCTGCATTTCTTCAGTCGCTCAAGCGCCCTTGTAGAGGTCAATCGTTCAGTGCAGTAGAGTGAAATGAAGTGAAGTGATGTGAAATGAAGTGAAGTGAAGTGATTTAATGACTTAGAGGAAACACTTAGAAGAAAGGAAATACTTAGAAGAACTTCTGAGCGGAAATACTCAAGGGAAATACCTTAAAGAAATTCATAGAGGAAATACTAACTGTATACCCGGATTCAGAGCATACAAATAGTTGTAATATGAAATTCTGTCTGCAATATGTCTGTGTATACTTACAACGCTATAAATATTCAGTTTTTTGACTCTTTACTTGATAGCTAATATAGTTTTATTGTTTTAAATATTCCAGGCCATTAATGACGAGTTCGGAGTGAAGGCCATTCAGCCGCTGCAGGAAGCGCTTGGCCGGCATTTTAGCGTAGCGGAGGCGGAGAAGGAGGCCAACAATCCGAATTGGTGGAAAATTCATGAAGCTTGCATGGATGCAGTTCACAGTTTTCGCGACATAATACTCGAGGGTGATTCCAAATTTGATTTGCTTAACTATCTGACGATTGTGAGAAATTTGTTAGTACATCAGGAATCGCCCCATCTGGTCGGCCGCGCTCTCTGGACCCTCAGCACGTACTCCAAGTCGGATTTGTACAATCCGCAGATGATAGTCGAAATTTTGGACGTAACGCTGTGCAGTTTATCGCCAGATAAGTCACATATTCTACGCATCAGCGCTGTTCGGGCCTTGCACGGCTTCCTGCAAGCCAATGAAAATGTTGAGGGCGAAAAACGCACACTTCTCGTGTCGAAACTTCCCGGTTTTTTGGAAGGAATCATGACGCTAGTGCCTGGCTGCAAGGCCACTGTGCTGGCGCTCATAATGGAAGCTCTTACGATGATGGTCAAATTTGATGCGGACTTTGCATATGCGGCGCATCCAAAAATTACACCTCTGACCATTGCAGCATTCCTCAAGTATGCAGAAGATCCGTTTGTTTTCGAAAATGTACTAGATCTGATCAAAGCGTTGTGCCAACACAAACAGTGCCTGGGACCTTTGCAAGAGAAATTCATACCAACTATTGTTAGCATACTGACGTTGCAAGGTGAGCAATGCGTCGAGAAGCAGGATATCGCCCTGGACGTGCTCAACACAATTGTCAAGTATACGGAGCCTCCGCTGCCCACTGCTCTACTGGAATCAGCATTTCCCGCCATGGTAAACTGTGTGCTGCATACGGACGATCACACCGTAATGGTCGCCGGCGGGGAGTGCCTTCGTAGCTTTATCAATGTTTCGCCTGAGCAAATTTGTAACTACAAGAATGGCGAGGGTGTCAACTATGTGATGCAGGTGGCAACGGTTTTGTTAAATCCAATGAACGCCGAGATGACCGCCGGTGGCCAAATTGGTCGACTGATTATCACCATAATCACCAAAATGGGCAGCATGCTGGGGCAAACTGTGGACATGCTGCTAAAGGCCGTCATTAGCAAGATGCAGAACCTCGAGTGTCTAAAGGTCATTATGAATTTGGTGTTGATATTCGCTCATCTGTTTCTTACCCAAATGGATGCGGTGCTTAACTTTTTGTCTACGGTTCCCGGACCCAATGGCGAGCCCGCATTGCAGTTTGTTCTTACCAATTGGCTGTCGCGTCAAAACTCCTTCTTTGGTGCATACGAACGAAAAGTACGTACACAAATAATCGTGATAACATTTAAGTAGAATTTAATAACATTTCTATATTTCTCAGGTTACCACGATGGCCCTCTGCAAACTTTTTGAATATGGCGTGGCCACCCAGGACAACCGTCTGACATCCATAACATACAAGGAACTGGTGGAGGAGCCGAGCGGCGATCGTATACGCACACGCTCAGTTGCGGCGTCCTATCAAAAATGGGTTACAATTCCCGCACTTGTAAAGATCTTTAAAGTTCTCATATCCGAGTATCAGCACTTTCAAGAGGGCAAAACGGATGCGCCGCTTACAGACTCCGAGGATGAAGTAACCGAGGAAGATGATGTTCCTGGCAATGCCAACAAGCCACGCTACATTTCTGACTTGTGTTTCGATTTCGACGAGGACAATGCCGAGGACGAGCAAGTGCTACAGGTGCTGCTCAAGGAGTGCAACTACACAGGCGACATTGGTGAAAATTTACAAAAGTTTCTCACAAACTTCACTCAAAACGAACATTTTCCCACATTCTACGAACATCTCAACGAATCCGAACGCCTTGTTCTGCTGGCCAAGGCACAACAAAAGTAATTTAAACTCTCGGTCTTCAATACAGACTTTATGAAAACTATAGCATATGTTTTTCAACCCATTGTGTTAAACCTATTTAATATTTGTTATAAAGCATTCAATAAAATAAAACCTTTATATTTTTAGCGTATATTTACGAGCGGCGTCTGCATCAAAAAAATAATCCCATAATTATCGAAATAGAATTAATTAAAGGGCCACCTCATCGCTGCGGAGTTTGTGTTGGAGTGGAACATCGATCTACAATGTATACAAATTTAGAAATCAGTTGCTGTTTATAGTGGATTACATTCCAATTACCTTTCGCTCGTGCGAGTCTGACTTGAAGAACTTTCGAATGCAAGGCGTGAGCAATACCGGATCAACTCCATTGGGATCGTTAGTGCTGAAGAACAGAGTGCTGAGCAGTGCAACGATTATGGTAACCGAGGCGCCTAAGGTCGTGTACCACATGTATGATATTCTATACAAAGGAAATATATCCCTGAAATAAAACAATCATATAGTTAGAGAAGTACAGTAGCTAACGATGTAAATGGTTCACTTACTCCGCTGAGGGACCATGAAGATGGGTGGCATTGGCAGCGCTGGAAACCAGGGCTGCATTGAAGCTGTAGCTGCATTGATCAACGTTTAATGGTTTGGTTTGATAACGAATGGCGCCCGATGCAATGGCCCACTGCGCATTCAGACTAACCCAAGACATGACAACGACTCCGACGCAGCCACCGAGAATGGCGCTCTGGAAGAATAAAACTCGTACTACAAGGAGTAAATTAATTGAAAACACAGTAACACACATTTCCACTGATCCACGGCATGAATATTCCAATAGTAAAGATGCCAAATAGAGGTCCATTTGTTATCGATTCCAGGCTCATGGTCAGCTGCAGCACAGTTCCCATATGCTCAACCACATAGACCAAGGCCACACAAAGCGCTCCAATGCCTACGACAACCAGACGCATGACCCAATTGGTGGCCCGACTCGACAACGGTTTCTTAACATAGGGTTTCACAAAGTCCTCCAGGACAACGGCAGACATGGAGTTCAAGCAGGTGGAGAGCGAACTGAGAGCAGCACTGAAGACGCCCGCAATAAATAGACCCGTCATTCCAGGCAACTCTCCCAGCGTGTCCATCACAAAGAGAGGCAGAAGCTGATCACGTGCCTTCGCCAGCTGTGGATGCAATTAAGTGGGATAGTAAATAAAATAAGAGAGAGAAAAATGTAGCATTTACGTGCCTTGGTTGTAAGTGGATCACAATTCTGATATGTCGCATAGATGAGCAGTCCATTGTAGCCACACAAGGCCATGAGGATCAAAACCCCAACACAAAAGATTACCAGAGCCTTGCGAGCATCCGCTAAGGTGGGCAGGGATAGATAGCGCTGTATCATGTTCTGGGAGACGGCATTGGTCTGCGTCCAGTACACAATGCCACCCAGAAATAAGCACCAAAATGTATGACGCACTGTGGGATCAATACTGAGACTACAAAAGACATGACATTTAGCAGGAATACTTTTAGCGAGTCCAAACTCAACTCACTCTGGAGCCTCCAGTCTATTTGAATTCCAAGCGCGTTCTACTACCACACTAGCTCCACCAATGTCCATGCTTCCTTTTATGGCAACGAGGGCAAGTGCGCCCAACATGGACACCGCCTGCACCACATCCGTCCAGACAACGGCCTTCAGCCCACCCATGCTGGTATAGAACACACAAATTATGCAGACAATCGGCGTAATGGTGTGAACACCTATTCCGGTTACCTGATTGAATGCTAGGGCCGGCACGTAGATGACGATGGGAAGATAAGCTACCTACAAAATAATTGGGATAAGACCTGACTTTTATTATGCGGTTTTTTCATGGGTACTTACATTCATAATGGCGAACATGATTGAGCCAAATAAACGAAGACGGCGATCGAAACGTACTTCCAAGTACTATAAGAAAAGATTATTGAAGTAAAGTTTAGTTTTGGTTTATGTACTATTTTTAAGTCATTAATCATGATAAAGTAATGGTACACGCATAAGTTATCTAACGAACAATATTGTGAATTAATGCCCCCAGACACAGAATGAATGAAATGAGTGGACATAAAGTACTTTATAACATTGTTTTTAATTTAATAAAACACAATGAGACGCCGGTAATTTTCTCTAATATTCTCAATCTGATATATTTTTATAGATGTTACTGCTTACCTCATAGGTGGACGTAATATTCAGATCATGGAAAACGGGCAAATAGAACACACCCATCACAATGCCCATGCCAATGACTCCGAAGGATACGTATAGATACTGTATACCGTACGAGTACACCTCTGTGGGCAGTCCCAGTAATGTAATGCCAGAGATGAAGCTGGCCACCAAGGAGAAAGCAATGGGCACCACCAGCATTTTGCGGCCACCTAGCATATAATCATCCTCGGAGATGGATTTCTTCATGAAACCAAAGTAAATGCCAATGCCAATGCATAGCAGAAACATAGCCACGAAGGCTACATAGTCGGGCCATGCGAATCGCTGCAGGTCTCTCAGAATGTTTTCAATGCTATCCATTGTGCAGCTGGAGTTCCTGAATCAGACCAGACGTCTGATCTTCCGCAGTGACAATGTGGACTAAGTCGCGCTACGATTACATCTGTTTGTCTGTGATTCACTGAATCAGTGGGCTCCATTGCTAGCAGCAGCTGTGGGCGCTAGTCGGCGGCTCTGTGATTCAATCCAATTTTACTCAATTATCAATTGTGGGGCAATTTAGGTTCCGTGTAGAGCACAAAATCCACTTGTATATATGAGTTTAGTTTAGCTAATCAGTTGGCGTATTTTATACCTAGAGAGCATCGCGACACTTTAGCGTCAGTTTCAACATTTTTCATAGCGTTGACCTTACAATTAAGTGATTTTGCTTTATTTCTGGATTTAAAAAAAGTGTTGACCCCCAAACTATAAAAGAAATTTGCATAATGTGTAGTTTTCGGCTCAAACAATCAGAAAGTGCTATATCTTTTTCTATTAATAAAATTATGTTCTGACGATTATTATTAAAATTTATTTATATCAATATAATATACATCTAATGGAATTTTTTTAGTGAATGTCTAGTTTAAGATTTTTAGATTATTAGCAATCATCATAATAACAATTATGTTCATACTTAACGGAAGTGAGTTCGCAATCCCCCAAAACAATTATCGATTAATACATTTTAAATACTTGCTATCGATGACTTATCAGTTTGCCGCCACAAAAACAAGCGAGCTGCTGCAAAACAAATTATTGGCTTTCTGCAATATTAACTATTTTAATTGTTTATAATGTTATCCAATCCTACAGGAAGTAGCGTGCCAGACAAGGCATGGCAGCCACCTTTCGTAACACTGGAAACAACGTGAGTATTTATTAACAGCCGGCATACGCTGATGATACATTGATTCTAATTATTAGCATGGGCGAAATAACCGTGGAGCTGTACTGGAAACACGCACCAAACACAGTACGTATGCTACATTGACATAAATTAGTCATTAGTTAATGGTTTTTCATTTCTGCAGTGCTATAATTTCGCTGAGCTGTCACGACGTGGATATTATAACAATGTCGTGTTTCATCGCATCATTCGCGATTTTATGATACAAGGTGGCGACCCAACAGGGACTGGACGCGGCGGCACCTCGGTTTATGGCGGGGAATTCGCGGACGAGCTGCACAGTGACCTTAAGCACACCGGTGCTGGCATACTGTCAATGGCGAACTCCGGTCCCGACACAAATGGTTCACAGTTCTTTATCACGTTGGCTCCCACACAGTGGCTGGACAACAAACACACAATTTTTGGACGTATTTATACAGGCATGGAAGTGGTGAAACGTATTGGTATGGTAGAAACAGATAAGAATGATCGACCTGTGGATCCGGTTCGCATTATTAAGGCCAAAGTAGAAAAACTGTAACCACAACTACAAAATATTTAATAAATTAATTAATTTTAATATTTGATATTTTCTAATATTAATCATATTGCAACTCGTCCTTTAGTATCCACGATGCTGCACGCATGGCAATAGCTGCAATAACAGTATTTGGATTTCCCGAAATAGGACGAGGCAGCACACTAGCATCGACAACACGTACGTTAGATACTCCATGCAACCTGGTTTTGTTGATATTAAGCTTTAAATCTGTTAGAGAAGTCTATGTAAAATAATCTACCTTAACTGCGAGTCTACGACACTGCCTAGAGAACAACTCCCACCCGGATGGTGTGAGCCCAGTCCTATATGGCGCATGAGACATTCCAGATAATTATCCGAAGGTTGGTGCTCAAGGAAATCTCTTTTGAACGGTCCAAAATTAGCGCACTCCTGTAATTTGGGCCAATGAATATGCGGTCGCAGTTTACTAAAAGCGGACGATGTGACAATCTATAAAAAAATACTATATTTGTTAGCAGATTCGAATTTGTAACTTGTAACCAGCTGTTACCTTCACAGCATTTCTTATGGCTGCTATGGTACAGGCCACATCGTGCTCGTCGTTTAAATAGTTGGGATCAATTAAAGGATTTCTACGCATCGTTTTATGAAGCAATGAAACAGAGCCCCTCGATCTCGGTTGCAAGCAACTGGATATTACGACAAATCCCTCCTGGGAAGCATTATGGTAGCGTGGGAAAAGTGCTCGAAATGCCGAACGCTTGAAGTTGGAAATAGACATGAGAGCACTTTCATCTATGGCGCCAGCGCCAAAAAAGGTGATGCCAAAGGGCATCGGTTCCTCGTAACCAGCAACATGTCCGAGCACTCCAAAATTTCCGAAGACCCCAGTGCCCGTATTTAGATATTTAATTAGGTTCATTGGATTAAGCAACGTTCGCTGATTCAGTGTAGGTCCGATAATGTCTATTGAGACGAACAGAGGGACATTAAAATGATCATGCAGTCCCTGACCCACCAGTGGCAAATGATGTTGCACAGGCAGTCCCACCCGCTTCAACAGTTTGGTGTCACCGATTCCAGAAGCCAGAAGCAGTTGCGGACTTTGGTAAGCACCTGCGCAGAGCAACAGCTCACGCCGAACTTTGATGATAAGCTCGATCTCCTTGTTCTGCTCATCCTTAATACCTACTAGAACGGAAGTGGCCTTCAGATTGGAGCTTGAGGATAGGCTTATACGCTTGACTAGTGCCTGGGGTAGCAGACGAAGATTCACACTGTTGATCACGGGTAAGAGAAATTGTTGTAGCACCGAATGCCTCAATCCATTCTTGATATTGTAAATAGACCGTCGAAATTGCCAAGACTCGTGCATAAATTCTACAGTTGATTCGTCCAGAGCTTCCGATAACATGGAGTAACTACGTGGTATTTCATAAAGCTCTTCCTTCTTAGGCTTAGCGGCAGTCATAAAAGGACTCACGTCATTCCAGCTCCAATTGCTTATGTTGTGTAGTTTATGCCACGAGTCAAAGTCGGGAGCATGACCATCGAAATGCAGCATATAGTTTAGATTGGCTGATCCACCCAAGCCCTTACCTCTTGGCAGACATTGACGTTGCTCAATCAAGCCCTTGGACGAGTACTTCTGGGGTACTGAGAGAAAAGACCAGTCATTGATGCCTTTTTGTTGAAATGTTGCTAGCAGAGGAATCCGACTGAAATAGCCAAAAGAGGCACCAGCCTCAATGAGCAATATGCTGCCATTGCTGTGCTTGGCCAGTAGAGAGCTAAGCGTAGAACCAGCTGTTCCAGCGCCAACTAGAATAGTGAATATTCCAAAATTAATCTAGTATATCGGTGACATCACTTACCGCTTACCAATAACATAATCAAAGACAAGTTCTCTATTCTCAAGTTTTAATACATTAGGTATGTTCTCTTCATGTAATTTACAAATAAGAATCAACAATGCCGCAAAAAATCCAATGACGATGGCGCCAACACAAAGCAATTCTATAATACAAGATTTGTATATAAAACTAAGTCCCCGAATAAATAAAAAAAAGACTTGCTTTGCAAATGCATTCCCATATTGTGTTAGTACCCTGATATGATGAAATACAACTAAGTAGTTGGCTAAACTCACACAGAAGACTGAAAGTAAACCGCCACAGACTAATCCAATTATAGGCCCATTTGTGGGCACAGAGATGTCAGCCTAGTAATTTGAATAAAAGCGCGAATTCTGACACTTATCGATTTATCTGTTAGTATTTCGCTTATCGCTGCTATTCAAAACACAAATATAATTTATTTGTTGTATATGTCTCATATGTTTATTTAAATACATTTACAAATAGTTTCTTGAAATAACGTATACAATTATACAATAAAGAAAATATACATTTATGCAAAGTCTAAGCTAGCTCATAATATTACAATATATTTTAAAGTTACTACTACTTCTGAGCTTCAAACAGAAGAGTTTAAAATGTGTGTTGTGAATAAATAGTGCCTTTGAATCACTGCAACTATTTTCCAATTGGAAGAGCTGCTCAAGTTCAAAAAATGATATTTGTACGAGAGACACAATTTATAATTTTTGTGAATGGCAAATTGTCGGCTCATTGTGTTAATGGCAAACAGTTGTTCGACGTTCATAATATTAGCTGTTGGTGCTTGTGCGCATATATATTGAGTGTTTATCGCTCTCCATTGTTATTGAGCGCTCTAAGCAGCGCTTTATTGAATCAGCGCTGGCCACGGTAATAATATGCAGGCGTCGCTTATCACTTGTTGTTATGGTACCGCCAGTGAAAATCAACAGCGCACTCCCAGCAACAATAGCAACAAAACCAACAACAAGAGAGGAACAGCTGCTGGTGTAACAAAAACAAAAGTGGCTCATCGAACAATAGGCAGATGCAATCAGCAAATGAACGATTCGTTGACAGATGTACTTAGAAGCTTGCAGTAGACGGTCGTCAGTGTGCAATAACCTCTGTTAAACGCGTAACTTTAAATACATCAAAACGGCGCTAGTAAAATATCAGTCAACAGGTGTTTACAATGCCACAGCAGCAGCAAACAGAGCTGCAGCAGCTTATTGAACTGCTGTCCGGGGAAGAGGAAGAATTGATTCAAGTATAATTGTGCATAAAAATTTTTCGGTTTTTCTTGTATAATAATCACTCGGGTCTTTGCAGGCCTTCATCAAAAGTTTTGGCGGAAGTGGTGCCCAACGGCATCTCGAGCGCTTGCAGAGTCTTCTAGAGAAATCTCCATATCCGATACTCCAAATTTTGAACTTGCTATATAATCAGTCCAAATTTTACATAGGACGCATTGTTAGTGGGGCGTTGAAACATATGCTGGATCACAATGACACATTCACCACAACTCCTCTTTGGACTCGTTTCCTCAGCGTACTAGCAAACGTTCCACAACAGATATTGGAAGCGGCACAATTAGAACAAAGTCTAATCGCACATCTTGTGAATGATGCATTGTGCAACAATGAGTATTTGATACTGACATTATTGGCTCGAGAAGATCCGCACTTATTAAACACAGTTTTGCACAAGCAACAGCAACAGCTGAAAATTGTGGGCACCAACTCAGCGCCTACAAGTCAGTTGGTGTTAAATCTGGCTCTCAAACACCGAGAGCACTTTGTACCTAGGGTGTGTCAACAGTTGAAGAATTTCGAATGTATTCACGATCGGACATTACGAAATACTCTACTAATTCTGCGAATAGCCAACGAATTTGCCCTGAGCTCGCAGACGTTAGACGAGTTGGCTGAGCTGGATCAACCACTAGCCGCCTTTGATGTAGCTGCAGTGCCCGCCGAGCTGCAGCCAGTGCACCAGTTCTTCTTCGCAGACTTCCAACGTATTTGTTTGATACTCAAGTTTTTGAAGCAACAGCAAGATGGAAATGCCTTCAAGACAATCAAAGTGGACTCACTGCTTCGGGCACCGGGCGTGCTTTCTTTGATCTATGAACATGGCATCGAATGTGATAACGAGCAAGTGTTTCAGCTCATTGAGCAAACTTACAAATGGCAACAACAGACACCAGCACTCAAGAACGTACGTATTGAGGAGCTGGAAACGTGGAGCTATTATACAGCCCTATGTCATGTCTACAATGTGATATTGGGGTCACACGAATCCTCGGTGAGGGACCAGTTGTTGTTGCTCTCCACCCAGCTGCGTCAGCTACGCGAACTGGTTACACTTTCCTCACTACTAGAGGACATATTCCAACTTGTTTTCTTGCGCTGGGAACAGCTGCAAAATACAAACCAATCTGAGTGCGACCATGATGATGAGCAGTATGTGGACGATGATGCGACACCTCCACGCTCTTCCAGTGTCAGCAATGCGCAGAGACGACGCTACGGCTTCATTTGCCGAGGCCCGGCTCTTTTTGCATTGTTTAGCTATCTGAAAGGATTTGTGACTAAGAAGCTGCACACTCAGGACTTCAAGTACGCCACAGAAGAGCAACAGCAGCGCTTTCAACGTTTAGTGGATGCCATCAGTGAGGCGCTTTGGAAGTACAGTGTTCTACAAAAGATTGAGCAATCATTGACAAAAGCAACGCCGGCTACGGGCTGCCGCTTTGAGCCTGAACAGATATTGCAGCTAATTCAATTGCATAGTCACTTGCGTGAGAAAGCATCCAGTGATGATGAGAGCAGGGAGCGCATCTTCCACGCATGCAGTCTAACAAGGCGAAAGTCACGCAAGCAGAGACGAGCGGCCAGCTTTAGTGGAGCGGCACGTCGCAGGTCATCTGAGACGCTGACTCTGGAACAGTGTTACGCTCGTGCCCAGCAGCTGCTGTCGAATGAAAGTGCAGGCAACTTGGAGCCGCAGAACTCCGTCACGCAGCCAGTGGAACGCTCCATTATACCAAAGATGCTTAGCACGCCCGAACAGTTGGCGATCATGGCGCTGGCTCTGAAGAACTTTAATGATGTTAAATACATCATTGAGGTAATCATAATCAAGTTGAGTTAAGAAATACCTAAATTAATTTTACTTTGCTCATAGACTTTTCATCTACAGCACACGCAGCTGAGTCGCGAGCTGCAGTTCATGGAGCATCAGCAGTTGATCAAACAAAAGTTGGCTAACATCTATGCAAACTATGAGACCTTGGCTGTTGAGACCAGTTCCACCAGCAGCAACGCCACGACCACAGTGGAGCAAATCAAAAGTGTGGCCGCCAAAGGCTTTGAGCTATCCAAGATCATCAGCGTGGTGGACAATTTTGCACAGTCGCAGAAGCTGCAACACAGCGCTGAATTAAAAACACTTTTGCAACGTCACTGCACAAATGGTCAATATGGTTTCCTACAACAGTTCCAGGAGCGCAACATCAACGCCCTGATTGTCTTCGATTTGATTATAAATCTGCGCTTTAATCGCGAAATTACGTGCAATCTACTGCTGGTTATACGACGTCAGCAGCAGCAGCTGCAACAGCAGCCATCAACGATAAATAGACCATGTGAGCCCAGTGCGAGGGAAATCGGCGCCATGTACTTATTGGAAAATCTCTGCGAGTGCATGCGTCTCCTGGACCGCGCTGGTCGCCAATCGGCACTTAATGACCTGCTCTGCCGGCACAGCTATGCATTGAGGCCAGCAGCCTTGGCGTTGCAACTTCAGCGGGAATCCGCCTTTAGAACGCTCTATCAGAAGGCCTCGTCGGATTATGCTCATTCTCAAGAACTGCGCGCCCATTCCGCACTCTTTCAGCAGCTCAAATCGCGACAGAATTACTACGCCCGCTTCTGCAGTTATGTGCAGCAGCTGACACGTCTTCTCCAATTGCGCGATCCCAATATAGAGTATCACAACACGCAGCTGTTGCGTCACGATCCCTATCAAATCATTGGCGAGCTGATTTACGAATGCGACATCACTCCACTGGAGATTGAAGGAAATGTGGCTGCACTGCATCTGAATCTCGTGCATGTTATCGCTCTCAACATTTGTCCACAGTTGATGGATGGCGGAGGCAAACCGTTGTCACGTTCAGTATCACCGCAAAAGCAGGAATCGATCCACAACTATATTTCGCAACACAATCAGTTGCTCGCGCAACTACTGCAGGCGGTGCAGCTGAATGCACTGCCAGAGATTAGCGAATCCGAGGCGGGCTTGCACTTTGAGTGTCTTCGGCATTTGATGCAACTGCCTGAAATCGAGACGCTCGCGCATATGCATCAAGGAAATCTTGTTATGGCTGCTCTGCATGCCTACAAAGTGGACAGTGCTACATTGGCGCGATCGGGGCTTGGCAATGAGCAACAGCTAGAAATTCTTTTGCTGGGCATTGGCGGACAGGGTGGTGAGTCGCAAAATAATTATTATGTTCACTAGTTAGAAAGGTTTTAACTTGTTTCGTTAACCAGAACCAGATTACAAACTGAGGACACGGATAGACAGCTTAATAAGTGAACTGATTGCAGAAGATGCTCGACACATACAGCTGGCTTCGTATATGCAGGATCTGGGGCAGCGAGCGCTGCTGCTGCATCAGCATTTCACTAAAATCTCCAGCAGCCAATTAGCGAAAGAGCTAATCGAGCACACGCTGGAGCATCGGGCAGCAGCACTGGCTATTCCGCTCAAGCTGCGCACTCAACTGGAGCATACACTATCGGATATTACGATATATGCAAGAGTATCTGCTCTCCTTAATTTTGAGAGTTGGCCGCAGGCTTACGATTTTGGACGCCAAACTCCAAACGTCATCTTTGAGCAGCTGCTCCAGGGGCGGCATTTTGAGCTGTGTCATGACTGGTGCCGCATGGTGCAGCTGGCGGACGCAGCTGGGCAGCAGCGTGTCTGCTTACTTTCATTACTTGATGCATTCCTAGAGCTGGGCGATGAAGATGAATTGGACACACATCTGTTACGCATTGCGGAGCTGTTTCCAGCCAGCGTGCTAGTTAACTTTCTGGATACACATAAAGACAAGATGCGTTCGTTGCCTCTACTCCAATGGTTGGTTGACTACTTGGAGGCAAACGCACGTGATGCGCGTCCATATCTCAACTATCAATTCTCACTGGAGCTTTTACGGCAATTGCCAGCCGATGAGCGACAGCATTTCTGGCCACTCTTACGCTTTCCTTTGCTGATTATCGAGCAGCTGGTCATGAATACGCGCTTTGAACTGCTCAGCAAGCTGCTGGAACCGGCACGTGCCAAACTGCTGCAGCGCATGCCCTCGGGACCCTGTAGCTACTGCTTTGAAAAGCGTGGCCATGCCTATGATGTCCATAGCAGTGGCACCACCACAGGCAAAAGCGGAGGCAAGTTGCGCTTCCAGTTGGGTCAGACCAATTCGGAGGCTTTCATACTGCTCAATTTTAATTCTTATCAGCAAGATCATGTGGTCAGCAATGATTGCTTGGATTTGTTGCTGCGCATTTATGCCAGCAAGGCACTCGACTATCAGATAGCCAATGTACGAAATGGAGTCGGATCAGAGGCCGGCTCCTTGGGCACCGACGTCCAAAATTCTCTCGACTCACTGTGTGGAGCCTTCAAAATTCCTCCACAGGCGCCAACTCGAGACGAGTGGATTCCGGATGAAAGTGCCACCCATTGCATGTGCTGCCGCCGATCCGCGTTCACAATGCTGATGCGTCGCCATCATTGTCGTCGTTGTGGCCGAGTTGTTTGCTATGCCTGCTCCACACAACGTATGGCCATTCCAGAGATGTACGGCGATGTGGAGGTACGCGTCTGTAATGATTGCTATAAACCTGTCCTTGCCGAGAAACCGATAAACATTCAAAACGAAACTCATCCGATCATTCCACGTTCCACGAGTTCATCGTACGCCTATAAGTGGCTTCTGAGTGGCATCATTACTCACGACAAATTGCTGCGCGAGGAGTTCTGCTATGAACATGCACCTAGTGTAGCGCTCTGTCTATCCATATTGCGACATCATTTGGATCAGCGGCAATGCGTGGACCTGTTGCTATTTCACTGTCGTAAACTGGAGAAGCTCATAGTGCCCAATCCAGAGGTTGACTATGACCTTGTCGCCAAAATGATGAACTGTCTGGCATTGGCAGCGAAAGTAAGTTGCAATATATAAATATGTTTGCTTTCATCAATGTTTATATTGCTCTCGTAGGTCCGGGGTGCTCCAGCTGAGTTCGAGACCATACGTGAACACTCGGAGATTATCATGGCCGTCGTACAGCAGGGCTGCGAGTCGCTCATACCCGCAGGGCCACTGAATGATCATAGTTTGCGTCAATTGGGCGATGCTCTAATCGAGGCAGAGCATTGGAAATTAGCTTTGGATGTGCACCTTAAATGGGGATTTGCTACCACTGGTGTGATGGCTGCCCATGGGCTGGCTTCCTTACGCGCCGGCTGCTATGATTCAGGTCAGCAAGTCTAGTTGCCTTCCTCAACTATTTTACTTAATCCTCTGTTATTTTGTAGCACGTGAAAAGTTTGCGCATTGCATGACTCGTCTGTCCACAGAGGAGCAAAACAGTTGCATATACAAACATATTTTCGGAAAGGAATTAAAGGCACCAGCATCGTTACCACTTGACAAAACTAAAAAGCGTCCGCAGCGTGGACCTGCCCTGCTACAGGAAATTCTTCAGCTGATTGCAACAATGCCCCAAGCGCAGCCACAGCCAGAGACCCTGCAGCGTGCATCCCTCATACGCAACTCGAATACCTCGCTGGCCTCGCTCTTCTCGCGGCGCCGAGAGCCGTACGTGGTGCAGACGCCATTACGAGAACCAGCCCTTAATGTGATTAATGCATTGGCTAATTTGAAGCACATTGCCAAGGGTCAATACGGAGAGCCGACTGTGCGGAATAGCATCGAGGCTAATCGTCAGTCACGCGCCTTTGAAGAATCACTGCATTATGTGTTTACTTATGGAAGTCACACGGACATTCTTCAGTTCTTAATGCAGCGTGATGAGCTGCGCGCAGCCTTGCGCTACTGGCAGATGCAACAGCTGGAATCAGATCTCTTCATACAACAAATATTCCAGGTATCCCTGGCCGGAGGTCGTCTACCAGCGCTAATTGAGGAACTGCAGGGGCTTGATTCCGATACTCATTTAAGTGCGTGGCGCGTGCCGCTGTTACAGACGTGCCGATACCTGGAGCAGCAGCAACAGCTCAATTCGCTGTACCAGTTGCAACTACTGCTGAAGGATGCGGTTCGCGCGAGCATGACTTGCGTGAAGTTTTATCCCCTGCACTGTGATAACTTTCAAAAGTTGCACGCCAATGCGCAGCATTTAATGTCAGCACACATGCACCTCCAGGGTGAACTCGATTTGGCACAGTGGGAGCATCTTCAGCGTGAGCAGCAACGAGCAGGTAGCAGACGTGCCAGCGTTGTCAGCTGCAATACGAGCAGCACTTGCTTTGCTATGCAACTGGATGCACGTAGTTTGAATGGCCACATCAATACGATACGACGCCAACTAGAACTGGCCAAGTTTTTGGCGCAGTGTGAGAGGGAGCAACCGCCAGTGAATGGAATGCTGTGCACCTTACAAATATTGAAACAGATCCGGCCAGAGGCTCCTCGCGGCACCTTGCCCACATTGTTTGATGGCTCTGCCGACAAGATTCAGCTGTGCATTCTAGTATTGCTATGCGGCAAGAACATCGATGAGGGCTTTGGCCTAGCCTATGGGTAAGCAGATTTATTACTGTAATCAATAAATGATTGCATGGTTTATCTTTTCGTTCGTAGCATCATGCAGGACTATAAGTTGGCACCAATGAAAGTGTTCGGCGCTACGGCGAATTATTTGGCGAAAAATCAACGCCTGAGCGAGGTGGAGCGTCTGTTGGACTGCATAGCTAGCAACAATGGCAGCAGCAGCAGTACCAGCTCGGACTCGGATGAGCTTCTTTCGATTGCTGTCAATGCTGCTGTGCACAGCAACGAGCCAGAGACGAAGCATGTATTGGATAAATTGATCAAGCGCATCGGAAATGTGGAGCTGCGCATATCTTCATACATGTTTATTGGTCAACTTAAGTCAGCCTACTTGTTGGCCAACAAACACGATCGCCTTGCAGACATACGCAAGATCTTAAGGCAAGCGGAGATGACGAACCAAATACATATTAAGAAGCTGTGTGAGAAAAAACTAAATATTAATTCAACTCCAATGTCGCCAACGCCACTGTGATACAAATAATCAGGCAATATATAAAGTCTAATTTTGGTAGATTAATTTTATAAAACTAATTGTAGAGAAATTGATTTTAAATCGTTCCGAAAACCAATGCGTTGGTCAAGTATTTCTTAACCCTTTGCTCAAAGACTTTCATACAAGGTACCAAATTATATTCATATATTTATATATATACATATATTGTCAATTTATTGTCTTTACCATCTTATTGTACTAGTATTTAATTTTTATTGTTTATTAAATATCAAATATTGTTATTCAATCATACCGCCAACATGTCATCGATAACTGTGCTGCTCGCTATATATAGATATATGTACATATATCGATAAGTGGGACAGATTATTGCAAATGCTTGTATAGATTATATTGGCACATTGTATATTAAGTTTCTATATATTGAACTTAGAGGTTTAGCTTTAATAATGCGTGCCGTAATTCAACGTGTTAGGGCTGCCAAAGTCACGGGTAAATATACACCACCATTAACTTAATTTACGTCTAATCTGGACATATTATAGTGCTGGATGAACTGGTGTCAACTATTGGACCTGGACTATGTGTGCTAGTGGGCATCAAGTCTAGCGATACGATAACAGATGTCGAATATCTGTAGGTAAATATCTAACTGACACATAATGAGGCAATTTTTGACTGAGCCTTTAGAGTGCGCAAGATTCTCGCATTGCGACTGTTTGAGGATGAAGGAAAACGTTGGCAAAAGTCTGTCAAGGATTTGCAGCTGGAAGTTCTGTGTGTATCCCAGTTCACGCTGTATCACAGATTGAAGGGCAATAAACCAGACTTCTCTGCAGCCATGAAAGGTGAAGATGCCCAACAGTTATATTGTCATTTTTTGAATAGACTGTGCCAGTCATATGATCCCAGCAAAATCAAAGGTAATATTTGTATTCTGTATAAAACTGGATCCAACATTTGATTTTTTTGTGCAATGTCAGATGGAAAGTTTGGTGCTTATATGCAAGTCCACATAGAGAATGATGGCCCTGTTACTATTGAATTGGAGTCTCCACAGCCAAAGCAGTCCGAAGAATGTGTAGATAAATAGAATATATAGTACTATCCTTTTGAATAAATTGGCTACAAATTTGTTTTACGACATATTTTGTATTTTCTCCACAATAAACTTAAAACTAAAACTATTTAAAATGTTTTGAATTAAGACTCTAGCATTTCCAAGTCTGCTTCCGTCATGCCCTCCTCGAGTCTCTTTTCAAGCTCGCGTGCATCCACATACGTGATCTTCTCCTCTGGCAGGTCTTCGTCCATAAGGGCGTCCTCCTCAGCCTCTTCCTTGGCGCGGCGTTCCCTCAAGCCAGCGGCTGGTGAACGTATGAGCGACATATTTCGTTGCACGTCCTTAACATCCATTTGGATTTCAACCTGTCGGCCCTTACGCAGACGCTCCATAACAAAGTGCTTTTCACGACGCTCCTTAATCTCTGTAACCTTTTTAATCGCTGTAATTGCCTTCTGCCAGGTATCGCGATTGTATTTGATGGGCACATTGCGGCGTTTCTCGAACTCGAAACTGGGGTCAATTGTCAACTCCTTTCCGGCTGCCTTACGATGTGCCTTTGTCCATGCTACCTTACGTGGGTTCTTCTTCTTCTTAAAGGCTTTGTGACATTTTCCACGACAAAATTTAAAAATCTGCAAAAAAGCAAAAGCGTATGGTAAGAATTGTGTACTGTGTATGTTTATGCGGATAGGAAAAAAGTTTATATTGTTACTTACTTTGCAGTCATTGCGTACAAAGTGTACTCCATGCCCAGGATATATTTTGCTGGAGCAAAAATAGCACGTGTCGATGCGCATTTTTACAAATTATACAAATAATTTGTAAAAATAAAACGCACAACTGTCAACACGTGTGTTGCTAACGAAAGGTAGATGCAGAGCTGCTGTTGATTGTTCTAATAAATTTCGATAACTATCGAATGCAATGGATATGAGGAAAATCAGCGATAGTTTCACTAGGTTTTTTGTTTTTAATAATCGTTGCTTCCTTATTTTATTTGATCAATACGATCATAAATCTTCATGTAAGCAAACATATTAATGTTTCCATCGCTAAGATATTTTCTAGTTTTTAAACATTACTTTACTGCAACTCAACAAATTTATTCAAATTCAAATAGTGTTAAAGTTAAAATTATCATTGTCCGATTTAAACTTGGGTAACTTCTGTTGACTGTTCTTGATTCTTTAGGGCCTGTTTCATGTTGGCCACCTTGTTGAGATTAGCAAGACGCTTTAGTGTTTCCAACTCTTTTATAAACGTTGCCATGGCTTCTTTGGTGGTGGACATATTTGCATCTTTCAAATCGGTCATAGTATCTTCTTTTTCAAGCTCTAAAAATAAGTATAAAAAACATATTAAGTAAATGTTGTAAATGTTTCATCTGCACTTGCTGTACTTACCGTCTATTTCACCTTCTATCTCATTGAGACGATTCATCAACAGGGATTGCTGTATCTTAACGTGTTCTATCAAACGGTACTGACATTCCTCTGGATCGATTGCAGCCTCCGGTTGCGGCACGTGCGGCCAGTCGGATTGTTCGGCCTTTGGACGTTTCACAGGTGTGGTTGCGTTCTCAGCCTGATCTTCGTCCCACTTCTTAGCCCACAGATATAGCTTGGGATGGTAACGATTGCGAGCAATATTGATCTTCACCGATAAGGAATGCATTGAGCGTTTAGCATCTAGTAAATTGCCCGTAAGTGTGTGAGATCGTTTTAGCAACTCGAACTTTTTGGGTGCCTGGGGATTTGGAGTATGATACCCAGCAACAGGCAGCTTGCCCTCGAAGAGCCAGTCCTGATCATGCTTGAAGCGCATCGAATCACGAACACGCGGCGGATTGCGACAAATGTAGCAGACGTATTTATCTGGTACATCCGACTCTTTGACAATGCCATTACAAGCACCATGCTGCCAACAGAGGCACAGCTCACATTGGATCATAAGGCCATCCTCTTCCCCATATTCACAAATGCAATTTATGATTTCCTCCTGCCTCATGCGCACTATACGTATAAGCTCGCCGTTCTCCTTGATGTACTGAGGCGTCTGACTGGCCTGTTGTGGGGGCGGTGGCGCCAATGCTGCATTTATATCTACCACATCGTTTGACGAAGGCGTTGATGCCGAATCGATGATTGGCGAACTAGCCGGGGTTCCAGATAGAGCGACACGACGTTTCTTAGCATCATTACGAACATCGGGTGTGGGTGTGGGTGTGCTTATCGACTGACGGGTATCTTCGCAATCTGCTCCAGATGCTGGTGAGTTGTGGGCATTGGTTGACGCTGGCAAATCCTCGTTCGAGACGTTTGCATAGCGACGTTGGGTACGTTGCCGGCTGCTTTTACGGGAGCCAGATGAACGCTTGTTGGATGTAGCACGCACGCGCTTGGTGGCCCGGTTTACGACGACTGGTGTACTAGATTTGTTCGGCTCCTGTGCTGCTGGAATAGGCGAAACTTCTACAGGCGGTGGTGCCACGACAGGAGCTGGTGCAGCAGTAGAAGTAGCAGCTTCAGGAGTAGCGCTTGTTGCCTGTGGTGAAACTTTAGATGTCGTAGGCGTCTCAACCTTGGGTGATAGCAATCGACTACTAGGCGAAACAGTTGGCGAGTTGTCACGGACTGTGGGCGATGTATCCGTAACAGCTGTCTGACGTCGAAAAGAGCGGGACTGTTGTAAGTCCTGTTGATGCAACTTATTAAAGAACTGTTGATTGGGTATTTGGTTCTTCGGTGTTTGCTCATTTTGTTCAATCGAAGATGGATGCGTGCGTTTTACAGCCAATTCCTGCATCTTCGGACAGTGGCTGAAGTGTCTGTAAAAGTGCGTCAACAAAATTAGACAAATAGTATATAATGAACCCATCTGTGACTTACTGTGCTAGTTCCTTGTGATAGTGTCGTATGTGTATTTGCAGAATGTGCTCCTTGCGGCATGTTTTACCGCATCCCTCGCTTGGGCACACAAACAAATTATCTGTTATCTGTACCTTTAATCCGCCAATATATACTGCAATTTTCAAATGCTTAGTTAGGTAAAATACGTTTAGATGTGCTTAGATAACGTACCGTAACCATCTTCCAGCACGGTGCCTTCATCCAAAGCTAGCACAGAGGTGGCATCGGCCGATTCGGTTGTATGAGGCATTGCCTCATTGTCTGGGGCACGTGGTGAGGGAGACATTAGCTCCGCAGGAGGCATCAGTGAGGCCACCGGTGTTTCCATATACTGGTTGTCCACCCCTGCTCCACGGCGTGTGGCCATCGGTGACATAGGCGTTGATGTGGGCGTGGCTGTCAACAGCTTGCTGGTACTTTGATCCTGTGACTCTGTTGCTGTTGTGTCCACGGACATGTCCATCGGCTTGGGTTTTGCTGGCTGCTGTGGACTGTAGTCATGTGTGTAGACGTATGCATTAATGTCTTTGGCACGCCGGCGATGAATGCTAAAGTCATAAACATCCGGATTATAGACCAAGCCCTGCGACTCCAAGAACACTTTCAGATCGGACTTGGAGCGAAAACGTTTTCCACTGGGCGAAACCAAAATGACATCCCACTTGCCCAGCACATTTGAGCGCTGGTACATGTGCTTGATCCAGCCAGGCGGCAATCGCCAGTCGTGAACAATCACCGTCGGCTTCTGGTGCTCCCCGACAATCAGATAGCCTTCTGTGCCGATCGGCTGATCGTTCACCCAATGGCATGTCCACTCCCCATCATGTGGGATTTCCGGCAATCCCAAAGCGGCTGCAAAGTTTAATAGAAACATAGAAGGTATGAAAATCAAGGATATTTTCAGCTGCAATTACAGGAGTAGGAATTTTCCATTGTGCTCCTATTGTGACTTATCGGAAATATCAAAATTCAGTACCCACTGTCAACAGAAATGCAAACTCACAATCGCAATGAGCTTTACATATACATATTTCAAACAAAGCTCTCATGCCCACTTAGTGAAATATATAAACCATTTTTTCTCAGTAAAGTTAATACAGAATATATATGATGCTGCAACATACCTAAATCCAAATTGGACATGTCCAGCAGTGGCCAATCTTTGCGCGGCGGAGTCACCTTTGCCTTCTTGCCGGTGCTGGTGGCTCCAGTGCTGGGCCTCTTCACTGCGACTGCAGCTGGAGCAGAGTCTGTTGATTGCGTGTCAGCATCTTGCTCAATGTTGGCCAAAACCTGGCGAGGCAGCTTGTTCATGTGCACTGCACGGACGTTCTTTGTGTATCCATCGTCGAATAGCACCTCGTATGTGTCGTTGCCCAGCAGCTTTTTGATGGTGCCCGGAAATTTCCGTGGTCCCGACCAGCGCGCCATGCATTTCTCCTCCAACTCAAAGATGGGTAAGACGCGCGAGCTGATGCGCTGACGCAGGCGATCCGATTTGAACCCGATCCATTCTTGGTTGCCACCGCTTGTCGAGGGTGACACTTTCAGCTTGTTGTTGCGCTCGAACCGGATTAGTAATGTCTGCTCCGATTCATTGACCTCGACAATACGTGCCGGAAGCCAAGCGCCATCAGCACTCAACGCCTCTAGACGAGCGCCAATCGCAATGTTTGTGGGCAAGCCATATTTGGGTGGAGAATTCGAAAGTGGGGAGCCCGTGTTGCTAGCAGCAGGCACTGCTTCAGTAGCCGAATCAGTTACAGCGGCTGTTGTCTCGTTGGAGGAAGTAGCAGTTGTGCCTTCTGCAGATGAGGCAACAAGTGCGGAGTCGACGGCAGCTTCCTTGGTTGCTGCTGCTTCCTTTTGTTTTGCCTCGGTTTCAGCTTCAGCTTTAGCGGCTGCCTCGGCTTTAGCCTTACGATCGGCAGCATCACGCTCAGCTGACTCGGACAATATTTGGGCAACAATTTTGTCAACGGTTGCCTTAATAACATCCTCGTTGCTGGCGCTGTTCGCGGAACTGCTCACTCCAGAGCCATCCAAGGTTGCCTGCTGCAAGGCCCGATGGTCAGCCTCTATCTCGGCGGGCTCCATTTTTCCCCACGGAAAGACAGTGGGGAAGACGCGCGGCTTCAGCAAGTACTTGCCATTTTTAATAGTATTGAAATCAAGACGTCGAAAATGACGTGAACATACAAGCACACTCTTTGTGATTTGCCGGTCCAGACTAATGCGCGAGTTCTTAATCCAAATAGCACGAATGACGGCGTCCATCGGAAACGAGTGGTATGTTACGCCGTGGTGCTCAAACAGACGCGAAGTCGAGGGGCAATCAGCAACGCAGCAGCGGCGTCCCATTTTGTTTAGTTTTAATAGCACTTATTTTTTTTTATAATACGGACCACAGAATTTTCACCGATGCTGTTGTTTCTCACGATTATTTCAGCGAAATGCGCAGTATTAACGAGAGTTCTGACGATTTTTGTTTTTCACTTATGACTAGCTTACTGCGATCATGCTAGGTTGGAACGTACAATATTTAGAGATTTTCTGATTGTCATATTATTTATATTATGATACACGATATTTTCAAAGTAAACCTGATTTGTTTTTTACAATCAATATTTCCGACGTCTGTGCAATACAATTATTTATAACCGCAAACCTAACACCAATTGCACGTATTATTTTACTATAATAATATGGAGTATGGTTGTATTTCGATTACTTGTGGCGGTCGGCAGATTACAGCAGAGGTGGCTTAGTATATGTGTGGGGAAGTGTCATAGCAATCAGCTTTACCACAGGCGTAGTCACTGCATAGAAATTTAAATTTGAATTGTATGGAATATCGCGTTAGATCTTTTGTTTTACACTAATATTCTAACTTTTTATGCTTACAAATAAATGCGTTATATTTCCATGCACAACAAGTGATTCATATATGTTAATGTTAATGTTGCTGAAAAGTGCAATTAATCGGCACTTGTATGCATTGCAACGTATTGAAAGTCTCATAAATATGTCCGCCACATAAGAAATCGCATGAACCAAGGAACAATGTGCAGCGACAAGGCCACTGAGCACCTATTTGAAATGCAATTATAGTGCGAATTTGGGCTATCATATATTCGCGTCCGCATTGTAGTGACACATTGCAAAAGCACCATACTCACACCGCACCAGGTAGCAGAAGGCTTTACGTCAGCTTTTAGTCGAAGGAGTCACTCACATATATGTAAATATATATACTTATACATTCATAGTCATATCCCTATGTATATTTATGTATACGTTGTCTGCGATCAAAGTTTTTTTTTATAACATTTAATTGTTAGCTGTAATTAAAACAGTGCCAATAGCCATTACTATGCATGCCACAGTTATCCGTCGACTTGTGTGCATATGTATGTGTGTACATATATTAATATGTACAGTAACGCGCAAAGTTTTTGAGTAGATGGCGCCCGGCGCTGCTGTTGGGCGTTGGTCAGGTGCCAAAAAGTTCAAACAAAATGTTGACACACACACACACAAAAAGGCAGCCTTGGCCTCCAAATTAAATATATAAATTTTGGATAGATATACATATAAAAGTAATAATATATATAAATACATTTTAATCTAATATACGTACATACATAAAATATATAAATATAAATAAATATCATATAAATATAATATACATAAAGAATGTACAAATTTATAAAATATTAATTTTTTTATAATAATAATAAGTACTGAATGTCTGAATGTCTGAATGTCTTTGAGTCTTAGCTTCAGTAAAAATTAAATTCTTATAGCATTTATTGAATCTCACAAATCGTTATAAAATCATCCCAACTCACTTTGAGTATTAGAAAATATTGCAAATAATAAAAAGTGTTATTTACCAAAATATTTACACTCGCTCTTTAAAGCTTGCCGGCGTGTATTAAAAGCGTACCCAGAAATGCATGTCTAATGTCAGGTATTTTATAGAGCTAAGGTCGTAGAGCCAACCTACATTGTGTGAGTTCCAAAAAATCGAAATTAGCATATGCATAGAAGAGTCAAGAATAAATATTAAAGGTACCGAATCAACTACTATATATATGTATAAACACAGATGTATAAGCATTATATTTAAAGTCCAATCACGGTGTGAACATAAAGCAAACTTTAATTATTATTTCTTTATAGGCATATGTCGCTGACATAAATAATAAGTAATTGCCATTGGTGCTATTGTTGTTGGGTCTATAGCCCATTCCGGTTGTATCAAATATGTGACATTGACGGGACCACGAGTTGGCCAAACAGACAAGCCAATTGAGGAAAATCCAAATGTGGGCTCATAATTATTTTTACATAATAATTTCACAAGTAATAAGCAATAATTCAACGCACCGTCAGCCATTTCTTCAAATATTGACGCAAACTATTCACAGATCTTGAAAATGGGTTGGCAGCTGCACCTGCAATACTCTCCTTTTATGTAAATACCTGACAGGTAACACACACTCATACACACACACACACGCAGAGACAGCAAATATTAAACAATATGCAAGCTGTGCAAAATATTTTTAATTTCGATGAAACAAAATTAAATATCTGTATAAAACAACACAACGGCTGCACTTTCTCCTCCAACAAGTACATATTTACGTTTAGCCAACTCTCTGGTAAATTGGCCAGCCCGAGATCGCTGGGATGACAGGCCGGAACCCATTGCGTAAATATGAGGTAATTTTTGTATAGTAAGCAAACAAATGGGCCCAGCCCCTCGGTCTGTGTTGTAGCGACTGCTGACGTTATCTCAATTCCTTAACGTGCAATGGAGACTGGAAGACAGCAACATTTTAATCACAATAGTAAACATTACAACTTATTTATAATTGTAATATATATACATATATAAAATTTGTAGTTTTCTTTTGTTGCTTATGCTATAATCATTGCTGACCCAACCGAGTAATTAAAATAAAGATCATATAATTAGGTTGTTTGTCGGCAAACTTGAACTTGCTGAAAATACAGCTAAAACATACCGAAAGTTATAAAAACAATTAATACGACTCTTAAACACTCTCTTTAGTCTTATAGCATATAGAAAATGTGTTGTAATCCATTGCTAGACTTCTTGAACTATTAAATATAGAGATGCTGTGCAATTGTTGAATAATAATTAGTCTATTGTCCAGTGCAGTGATGAGTCACATATACCGTTAAGATTATAATGTTTTAAGCATCGCTTATAAAAAGTCCGGTCAGTTGGTTGGGAAAAAGAAGTCGCGACGTGTTCACAATGAGCGGCATTGCCCAAGTCTAAAAACAGTCGATTGCACGTACAATTCGTTATTACAATACTCTTTGCATTTCTCAATAGAAACATAGAAAATTTTTATGAGCGCCGAAAATAAATACAAACCATATCAAACATAGCTGGAATTCGAGTTGAGCTGAGTAGAGTTTGAATCGTGAACTTTAAGTCGACTTTAACTGTGAGCTGAATCGTCTACAGTAAAGTACAATTACATATTTGCTGAAGCTTGATAATATATAATTATTATTTAATTAATTAATAAATTTATTTAAAAGATTATTTTACTTATATTTAAAAGTTGTGTTTTGTATAAATTTATCTGCTGATTCAAGACTCTATCAGGATTTCAAATAGAATTTCATATCATTTTGATATTACAATCTTATTACATTTATTCTTTATGTAAGGAATATATTTTTTATATACATATGTCAGGATGCTATTCGCTTTTTTACTTGACATTTGTACTAAAAAGGCCTTAAAAATTAAATTAACTGATTAATTTTCAAGTAAAAAAAAAAATCTAGTAAAATTGTTGTCAAAAGAACAATTTAAAATAAAATAAAATTACATATATATATTTCTTTATATATATTTAATATAAATGTTAAAGCTCCCAAATTTCCTACAAATTTTTTAATACAGAAAGTTTATTTATTTGTTAACTTATCGTCTGCTTGTTGCTTATTTATTTATTAATTTCTCCGAACAATGTGAAAATAACTCAGCTCATAAGATGTCAACAAAAAATAAAAACCAAAATATTCGAAATTTTGGGTTCGCCCGTCGCTCGATGCTGTGTAGTTACATTTCGAATACGCTTACAAACACTCGAACATGGGCGAGGCATTCACTTGCGGGTATTCAGCGATGATTCGGAGATACATACATATGTGTATACACCAACTGGGCACCTGGCAGTCGACTTTAGCAACTGTTACAACTGAGTTGTCCAGATCTGCAATGCTGATACATTAGATTGCCATGCATGCAGCAAAGGTAGTCTACATGCTCTGCGGCACGTGTTAACGTAACATGGAAATATGCCAAAAAAAAAAAAAAAAAAAAAAAAAAAAAAAAAAAAAAAACCGACCTAAAATGTTTCCTACTTTTTCCAACACCCTGTATATATTATAATGAATATTCGCTGTGGTTAGGCAGCAGCGGTCTTCTTTGACTCATATATTGAGTATATGATTTGCTTAAAAGTCTATATATAAATATTTTTATTTGGCTGTTTAGATGAACTGCCCAATTTGCAAAAAAAAAAAAAAAGTTAAGTATGCCCTAAAAATTTAAATTAAATCATAAAAGTACTTTTTCTTAATAAATTTAGTTTTATTTTTAGAAATCAATAAATATTGATCATATTTAATGCTGATTCCTGTAGATTCTTTTTGATGGACATATATTTGTGCTTTATCTTAAATGCTGTCTCTAAGAGAGATGGTATCTCATTTAGGTATCTCATCAGCGGCTATGCACATACCCTGCTTGGACACTCCCCTACTAGAGCACTCTGGCGTATTTATTTAGTTGTTCAGAAAATACGTGAATAAGTCCAAAAATGTGCCGCGCATCGGGCTGGGTCTGCTCACACCTGTTCAATTTGCTTTCGGTTGGTGAAATTTCGCCATTGATGTACTCGACGCGGCTGTCGTTATTTTCTTTGCCGCCTCACTGACCTTGATCTGGTGATGGAGAGACGCGACTTGGACCGCTGATGTGCCGTGGACCTGAGCTGAGCATACTGCAGTTGGCCGCGTCAATTATTTTCTGTTTTTGTTTTATGCTTATGCAATATCACGTGCACACATAAATATGTAAATCTTCTGGTTATTTATTGCCATTATGTAATGTCAAAAAACACTTGTTGGCCCGTTAAGCTAAATCGGCTGGGAGGAGCACAAACGCATTCATCACAGAGCACTCCAAGCTCAATATCTTATCAGTATTGCCCGTCGCGGCATCAAGCTCTGATGATGATCCGTATGAGATATGAGACTTAAATTGTGCATTTTGCTCTTTACTTTCTAAATTACCAATATATACATAAGATACACATAACACTATCTAATAACGTGTTTATATGCATCTGAGTCAATGTCTCAAAGTCTTTAGTTTGCTAAGTTTTTATAGTCATTTAAGAATTAAATATATATTTGTATACATATACATTTATATATTTAATACAAGTTTCCCTACTCGAAAAGAAAGACTAACTTACTTAAGAGAACTCACGAAATAGAACTGAAAAGTTCTTGCTTGAATCACTCAATCATTAAATAAAAATTTTATACCGTACTATAATCTTTTTTTTATGATGCATTTTTTACAATATTCAGTAAAACTTGGGCTCGAATTGGATTTAAACATTTTATTAAAATAAACAAAAAATTTATAAAAAAAAAAATTATATAATATCCGATTTAAATTTATTTTATCTTATTTTATTTAAATTGTTAACAAGCCGGAAAATATTCTTGGCTAAAGAATAATTGATTACAAATGTTTATCAGTTCAGAATAATAAAAAATTTCCATTTCCAAAAAATGCCAATCAACAGCTTTAAAAATAAGTATTGATATATCATGGAGACGTAATCGCTCTCCCGCAATTTCTCAAGCGCGTGGCTTCGATTCATATTTCATGGATATCCATAAATAAACGTCTATTTAGCAGCTGGCTTCCTAATTGGAAAATGGCAAGGCCCGCGAGCTCGAGTGCTCAAGACTGTAAGCCAAATGTGTCACCTGTGACTTTCAGTGGAATAAATTTGGTCAGCTATTTGGGTTATGTAATGGCCAAAGCAAAAAAAAAAAAAAAGTACGCCAAAATCTATGCCAGCCGCTCCAAGAGTAAATATATTTTTGAAACAAATACAAATGTCGAGCGGCCAAAGAGAAAAAAATGCATTAAATAATGTAAAGTGAGAAAACAAAACTAAAGCAAAAGTAAAGATATTTGGGTATGTACATGAGCGAAATAGCCATGCGTCTGATGAATTTTCAAGACGTGGTCGTGGCTTATTTGTGTAGCTAATTATGTAGATTTGCTGGCTGAGGCGTCGAGTAAATAACGAAAATTGGCCAAGGCGCGTATTCGCACTGCTAAGTGGTGCAAAATGATGGGCGCAAACGCATCTATTATGGAACTAACGAGTACTAGACATACGACATACGACTACGTCTCTGACTGCGACTCTGACTGCGACTGCGACTGCGACTACTTACGATCCCCGTCTGATGGAGTCCGAAAATGTTTGTCAATGCAATCGACAGGTAACCGGCCACTTAAAATTCAGCATCGTAAGCGAGGCACCTCCAAAAAACATTTTCATATATGAAAAACCCCGCACAAACAAAAACTGAAGAGCCGAAGTCAAAGCCGAATTCAAAGCCGAAGTCGAAGCCGCAACCGAAGCCAGAGCCAAATGCTGGCGCTCGCTCATATATAAGACCGAGTGTGACCGAAATATTTGTGTCATTGCAGTTTCATATAGTCGATCGGTCGGTTGCTGCTTTGTTCGTCGAGAGCAAAGTCGAAAAGTAGAAAAAACGAAAGTGCGTGGGTGCGAGAGTGCAAGAGTTGAAATCAGAGACAGTTCGAAAATGAAAGCGTTCATTGTTGCCGGTGTTTGTTTGTTTGGCCTGTTGAGCCTTGGCTCGGCCCAGTTCCAAAACGGACGTCTAGAGCCGCCAAATCCGCAGCTGTGCGCCCAGCGCATCATTCACGAGAGGACACCCGATGGCAAAGGGTGAGTCAATCACGAAATCCCAATCCAATCGCAGCTCCACGAAGTGAATTGTTATTAATCTCAAACATGTTTCTATTCACTTCCACTACAGCTACTTCTTCTCGTGGCGCGACCCACAACTGAAGGGCGTGGAGGAAGATTGGCTGACGGCCAGAAATTATTGCCGCAGACGCTGCATGGACTCTGTATCGCTGGAGACCAGTCTGGAGAATGAGTGGATCAAGCAACGCGTTGTGGGTGAAAATGTAAGTGGAATAGAAAACTAATTTATACGATTTGAATGATCCTTAAGACAAAAGACTTGGGCAACGAACTTATATGATCTTTAACAAGATCACTATCAAGGCATCCATTGAGCTTTATTTTATTCGTTAACTTATATATGAGTATGTATGTATATACATATATATCATATATTGCATGTGCAAGTCATTGTTGAGATTGACAAGATTACAAGCGATTGGTTGAATCTCTCAACAACTATACATATGTAGATATTTCTTTTTATTACGCCGCCTCGACTGTATATCAATTGACACCTCTGTCGGACACCACTCAAAGAAATTGGCAATAATTTACGATGCTTACTGAACTAAAAGCCTTTTGTTTGACTTATGTCATTTTGGGGCTTCGAAAATTTGCACACTTTCGAATTGGGCCAGTCACATGCAAATGTTGCCGATCCACATTCATATTATAATTGTCGATTTCATTACTTTTTGGAGATTACAATGGAATGGACTTGAGTTGACCAAGTTCAATGTAAAAGCATTTGGCAAACTTTCTCAGCGATTCATCAACATTTTGCAGTCGCTTTTGTTGCGGGCAATTTTGTTGTTCACTGTTGTTGTTGTTGTTGTTGTTGTTCGTTTGTTATGCAACGGAAAGACTGACAAACTGGCAGACAAGTGTCAAGTTAAAGAGCTGTCTGTAACGCTTGAGGCTACGGCTGCTGCGGCTGCTGCTGCTGTTGACCAGCGGCCGGCCGGCAGCGTTTTTGCCTGGGTTACGTGAGAAAATTGTAATTGTAATGAAAACGAAAGTAAGTGTGAGGAAACAGCTGTGGAAACACAAAATTAAATAAAAGAAAAAATCAATATGCATTGTGTTAAACCATAGCCACAGCAAAGAGGAAGTGCTGTGGCTAAATGCTTCCATTGCCAATGCCAAACAAAAGACTTAGGCAACAAACTTGCTGCAATTTGTACATCATTTACTTCATTTGTGGTAACCAATTGTGGTTGAACGTTAACGAACAATGTATTAACCAGCTCTCCACCTTTTTTTTTTTTTTTTTTTTTTAAATTGAGAAAGTTCTGTTGGTTCTCTGAATGGAATGAGTTTATGGCCTTTCTGTTCATGTCTTTTCTGTGGAATTAAATTGGTGATAAGCTTTATGGGCATTCAATGCTCGCTCCACTTTTACTTTACATCAGATTTGATCCCCTCATATATTCAAATGAGACAAGTGCATCGGCTTGGCTTCCGCGATGTTGCAATTGATTGATTGCAACGCCGTTTGCAATTACAATGCCGGCGCGGCCCGCAGCAATACAATACAACAACAACAACAACAACAACAACAACAACAGCAACAATTCGATGTCCATTAATTTGTAGCTTTCCGCTCAATGGACTTTTCCAAAGGGCAACAGGCGTGTTTGTGTGTGTGTCTGTGTCTGTGTATGTGTGTCTGTCTGTCTATATGTCTTTGTATACTATACAAAATAAACAGTTTTTATGGCCATTCGGGTGAAAGTGACTGATGAGCATTACGGTTGCTGTCGCTGCCTGTGGCTCTCTTGTGGCTGCTGACAACCGCCGAACGAAACCCGCCAACGGGTGCGGCCACAAAGGGCGCGACTTGGAATGAGTTCGCTTTCAATGGCACCATAATAGCTGCTCACTGCCCGTCTGTCTGTCTGTCTGTCTATTGTTACTGAGCCCAAGCCCCTGTCGATGCTTAAATTTCTACCAACTGTAATTGGTGCCAACGCATTTTCGAGCGTACGACAAAAACAAACTAACGGAAAACTGATATTCAAGCTCGGGCAAGTGCATTGAACTTGAACTGATCGAATTGGGAGCAAAAACTAAATCAAATTTATGAGCCTCTAGCTGTTTATTGGTCATCAATGGATCGTTATTGAATATTAAGATAATTTAAAATATGTTTTAAGATTTCCCTTTCCATATATTCCATACTTGACCTAGAAAGTTAGTTATAGGTCACACATACAATTTAAATGCTAAATAATGAATATAATTATGAATATAACCATAAATTTCCCTATCCACACATTCTATAGCCCGCTTAGGCATACATAATTTCCTATCGTTGCTTCTTTGAAGTCCGCCTTATACACCTGCTGCAGCTTATACTAAATGCCACTGCTTTCTTTTCTTGCAGGTGAAATATATTTGGACCAGCGGTCGCTTGTGCGATTTCAAGGGCTGTGACCGTCCCGATCTGCAGCCCACAAACATCAACGGCTGGTTCTGGACCGCCACGCTGCAGAAGTTGGCGCCAACCACGGAGCGCAACCAGGGCGATTGGTCGCCCACCGGCGGCATTGGCCTGCCCCAGCCCGACAACCGCGAGTTCAAACAGAACGGCGCACCCGAGAACTGTTTGGCTCTGTTGAATCAGTTCTACAACGACGGTGTCAACTGGCACGATGTGGCCTGCCACCACAAGAAGTCGTTCGTCTGCGAGGAGAACGATGCTCTGCTGAAGTATGTGCGCTACACGAACCCCAATCTGCGCATCTAAATCGCTCAGGCTCAAGGCGGAAGTATCAGCTGGGAATGACGTGTGGAGTTGGAGCCTTGAGCAGCGACTTCAAATAAACCAAAAATGATATTTTTATGTAGCTACCATGCAAATGTATGTGTGATGGTGTGCGAAATGATTCGTTCGCTTCGGTGCTGCTCATGTACTCTTTGTTAGTTACTCTTCGATATCTTTTAAACTTCCGGCTATCCTATACATATGTCTTACGTATTTGATGTAACAGTTTTTCCAGTCTCTGCGCTCTTTCTCATCACTTAGTTTAATTATTAACTTTGTATTAATTTATGATTTTCTTAAATTATAATATAACATTCAAAACGACGAGTAAAACTCAAACTGTCTTTTTCTATTGGTCTTCCAATTCATTTAAGCCGGGCTCAAAAGATATGGTAATAATTTATAAGTGATTTTGAAAGAAAGTCAGGTCAAGACGCGAGCGTTACATGATAACATATTTCTTTTGTTCATCTGATATGAAAGCATACTCTGGAAATTTATTGACATCAATTATATATTATAAAGATATTTATTTACTTGGAGTTTATGTAAGTAATTGTTTTTAGATATACAAAACAAGCAAAACTAACATGCAAAGCATTTTCTTTCTCTGTGTGAGCATTTTTTCTATTTTGAAAAGTTGCGCCAATTTATGACCATCTGTGTTAATTTGTTATTATTAATTTGAATAAACAGCTCAACGAACTATTACGATGTAGCTATCGATTCCCTAAGAAATTTTGTGTTTATATCGATACACACCCAACGATATGTTGCAGTATTTTGAGAATACTTTTGGCATCGATACTCTCTCTCTCTATATATATATATATATTATCGAAGTGAGCTGTAAGAGCAGCATTGATGTTTATTGAATTTGTTCGTTGAATATGGATATCGGTGAACTGTTGGCGTTTAAGGTAAGTATATGCAATATGGGGATCCGCAATCCATTAACGAGCCCACTATGTTTGTAAATAACAACAGCCGGAGCAGACGCCGAAGCGACCACATGAGGACGACGATGATTTCGCGGTGCCAGAGCCGGCGCCCAGCGATATTGGAAAACGGGGCGGCGGCGGCGATGAAAAGGCTAAGCGAATGCGCCGTATTGCGGACGCCAAGGAAACAGCTAACTACAAAAAGTCACAGGAGGGTAATGCGGGTTCAGGGGCAGCCGTCAATACATTTGAATTTGACCCAGAGTTGACGGAGGAGGAACGCCTCAACATACTGAAATATGTGGAGAGCGAAGAGGCAGAGGGCGATGCACTGGACGAGCAGGGCCTTAAGAAGCTAATACTCGTGTTTGAGAAACGTAACTTAAAGAACCAAGAAATGCGCATAAAGTTCTCCGACAGTCCCGAGAAGTTCATGGAATCAGAACTTGATTTGCACGCAGTCATCCAGGAGCTGAAAGCGGTGGCAACAGTACCGGATCTCTATCCATTGCTAGTCGAGCTGCATGGGCTGCACAGTCTGTTGGAGCTACTGGCACATCAAAACACAGATATTGCCGTCGCTGTTGTCGATCTGCTGCAGGAAGTCACAGACGTCGACATTCTAGGTGAGAGCAGCGATGGAGCAGAGGCATTGATTGAGGCTTTGCGGAAGGAGCAAATCTGTGCACTGTTAGTTCAGAATCTAGAGCGCCTTAATGAACAGGTCAAAGAGGAATCTGATGGCGTACACAATACATTGGCCATTGTGGAGAATCTGATCGAAATTGAGGGCGACTTCGTGCGCGAGGCGGCCACACAGGGTCTGCTGGCTTGGATACTTAAGCGGCTCAAGGGCAAGTCGCCCTTCGATCCGAACAAATTATACTGCAGCGAGATATTGTCAATACTGATACAAACGGAAAACGAAAATCGCCTGCTGCTGGGAACACTAGATGGCGTGGATGTTCTGCTGCAGCAGTTAGCTATATACAAACGTCACGATCCCGCCAGCAACGAGGAGCAGGAGTACATGTCCAATCTGTTCAATTGTCTGTGTTCCGCGCTGATGGCACGAGAGAACCGTGATCGTTTCCTGAACGGCGAGGGTCTGCAGCTAATGAATCTGATGTTGCGGGAAAAGAAAATGTCGCGCAACGGCTCGCTCAAGGTGCTCGATCATGCCATGGCCGGTCCAGATGGGCGAGAGAACTGCAACAAATTCGTGGAGATCCTTGGCCTTCGCACCATATTTCCGCTCTTTATGAAAACGCCCAAGCGCAACAAGCAGCGCCTGCTGTCCGTCGACGAGCATGAGGAGCATGTCTGCTCGGTGATTGCATCCATGCTGCGTAACTGCAAGGGCACACAGCGCCAGCGTATGCTGACCAAATTCACGGAGAACGATCACGAAAAGGTTGATCGCCTGCTGGAGCTGCATCTCAAGTATTTGGCCAAGGTGGAGGCGATCGACAAGGAAATTGATCAGCAACCAAAGGTAAGTGCTTGAGCTTTTCATTTTTTATTGTATTTTAATTTAGAATTATTGAATATATTACAAATGAAAATTGCCCATTAACAAATGAAATTTTTTTTAGGATGCAGCCATAGATGAGGATGAGGAGATTGAGAACAATTACATAAAGCGTCTAACTGGTGGTCTGTTTACCCTACAGCGCATCGACTACATCCTGCTGGAGGTCAGCGCCACCTCCGAAACAGTAAAGCAGCGCGTTCTGCAAATCTTAAACTTGCGCGGCGCCTCCATGAAGACAATTCGAAGCATAATGCGAGGTGAGTGATGATTAAAATTACTGTTACTTGATCATGCCCTTAATCATTGTGAAAATTTGCAGAATACGCTGGTAATTTGGGTGACGGCGACACGGAATGGCGGGAACAGGAGCAGACGCATATACTTTCTTTAGTCGATCGATTCTGATGTAATCCTTTCCCTCTACAGTGACCAGCTCATATGATAATATTAACTAAATAAAAGAACTTCCGTTGGCGAATATTACTTTTCAATTTGTCAATTAGTTTTGGATGAATTTGGTAGATTTTGAAATTTTGAAAAAAGCGTGCAAGGTTTTAAATGTAAAAATTGTTGAAAATTAATGCAAATACATGTAATTGCATGCGCGTCCCATCCGGGAGTAATCCATATCCTGTCTGCTATCGCCATGATTGAACTTGTATTTCAGATATTTATTTCAATGGCTGCCAGATCTATTTAGTTCTAATTTTTATTTTCTTTATGGTCCCCATTCGTGTTTAGTTTTTGCATTGCAAAATATTTTCACATTTCAATATTATTAAAATGGTTTTAATTGAAGACATCAAAAAGCACGCTTGAAGTTATTCGATTAAATAATTTCTAATTATTTCAATAAATTTTGCAATTGAAATATTGGTGGGGTATTTGTTTTAACAGAGGGGTCTCGTTTGTGGCTTCTTGGATTTGGCCTCTTCCCATTCTTCTCGCTATTTCTTTTTGCATTTGTCGCCGCCTTTTGCCCTGGAGAAGTCGATGCAAAATATGAATGAAATGAAGATAAATTTAAGCAATCTACGCAAAATAAATTTATATTATGATCTTTATGAGTTGAACCAAACAGTTACCAAATAAAGTTCTACCGATTTGTAATAGTATTGCATTTTAATTTAAAGCGAAATTAATTTAAATTGCGTAATACACGACTCACTACTTTTGAAGCAGTTCGCAGATCAATAAATTATATGTTTTGCAAAAATCACGTTCAACGTTTGGATCAATAGCTGGTGGATTACTAATATATATTTAACTTTCGTGCAAATATCAATACATTTTCGTTTAAACGCTCATCAAGTTATAGAGGTGCAAAAATTTATAGTTCTTAGGATTATTCGAAGTGACATAATATTTTGACGTTTGTTTGTTTCAAATTCACAACAATGACGCCACACGAGCTTATCTTTCATCTTATTTGTAGATTAACGATTTTTGCAAAATTGTTCAATTCTTTTAATTCGATTAATCGAAATTAAATATTACTAACTACGAAGCGTTGCATAGCAGTAGTAGTTTTTTATGTGAATTGTATCTAATTTGTTGAGTAGATGTGTTTTTGTTTGTTTGTTTGTTGTTGCTGTTGTTTGTGTTCTACGTGGGCTGTGTGGTTGACTTAGCCGTTTATGGGATGGATCTACTTCTGTGCATCGGGAATCTCAAAGTTAATATCCATGTTCATTTCACGAGCCAACGAAACAATTTGTGCCAAATGCACAGCCATGTCGGCAGCCTTGTCCAAATCATCTCGTGCCAAAATCTTCAATCCTGAGTTACGAATCAGTTCGCGAGCCTCCTTCACTTTAGTGCCCTACAATCAGAGACATTATTTACTTAGATAATGCAATTTCCCTTTAGCTAAACGCATTTAAATTACCTGCAAGCGCACAACGATGGGTAGGTTAAGATTCAAATCTTTGGCAGCGGCTATGATACCCTCGGCAATAACATCACAACGCATAATGCCACCAAAAATGTTCACTAACAAACACATGACCTTCTTGTCGGAAGTGATAATCTTGAATGCAGCCTTGACCGCTTCAGCTGTGGCGCCACCGCCAACATCAAGGAAATTGGCCGGTTCACCACCATACAACTTGATAATGTCCATGGTGGCCATGGCCAAGCCAGCACCGTTAACCATGCATCCGATGGTACCATCTAGCGCAATATAATTCAAATTGTATTTGGCCGCTTCGACCTCTTTGGGATCCTCCTGGGTCCAATCACGCAAGCTGAACAGCTCCTTTTGCCGGAACTCCGCATTGTCATCAAAGCGCAATTTGGCATCCAGGGCAAAGACTATAATTGATGATGCAAAAATTTAATTAAAATCTGATACACTAACATATTTTTAAGTGGATTTTTGTTTAGTAAATCTCAGTTGAACTTATAGATGCCAATTGGGTGATATTATGTTGTGTGATTTCAAAGTGCAACCAGATATATAAAGCAGTACTTACAGCCTTTATAAGTCAGCATCATGCGGCATTATTGACGTTATCATGATATAGATGAATTATGAGTTAGTTAAGGAAAAATGACATATGTTTTAGTAGAGTTAGTTATCGTTAAGAGTTCGGCAAGCTGACAACTTACAGCCAGTCATGGCATCTTCCGCATAGGGATTGATCTCAACTAACAGTGCATCCTTCTTCACAAACAGCTTGTAGAGGTTAAGCAGCATATCAACGTGTTCCTGAGCATTTTCACCACCCAGACCGACTTTGTCAATAACGCGGCAGGCCTGTTCTTTGGTCAGTCCCTGGCCAATATCAATTGGCTCGTAAATAATGGCATCGGGACTATCTTTGGCAACTTCTTCGATGTCGACACCACCCTCCTTGGATGCAATTAGGACGGGTCCCTGATAGCAATATAAATTAGCATTAAATCTGATTTTCCTTTGACCACCTGATTGTGGAACTTACATTGAAAGCGCGCTCCAACATGACAGCAAAATAGAATTCACGGCGAGGAAACTTTCGCTCGGCAACCATTACCTTCTTACATAGACGACCTGCTTCGCCGGTTTGCTTGGTGACCAACAGCTGATCGATCATCTTCGAGGAAATTTCCTCTGCTGACTTCGGGCTAGACAATAGAAAAAAAATATTACTACAAAAGTTTATAAGATGTAAAAATATTACTTACTCGAAGACGACACGAACGCCGCCTTTAAGGCCATTTTTAAATGTGCCTTTACCACGTCCGCCAGCAAGAACTTGGGCCTTAAGCACCAGATTATCTGTCTTTAGTTTTTTGGCTATGTCATGAGCTTCTTTACCATTCTTTGCAACGGCGAAGCTGAAAATAAACGAATGAGTCATCAATGAGAAAGTTTTGTGGCTCCGCGATTATGTTGCAGAGTACTGAAAATAATAACTGATAATAATGACTACGTCAACGATTCTTATCAGTTGAATAACTGGCCATATGTTTACCTGAAGGTTATTCAAACTGATATGTTAATAAACATATTTTTATATATATGCTGGTTAATCTTTTCTGAAAAGTTTCTCTTCGTAAGGCCAATGCTCAAATTTAATTTTGTGAATCTTTTATAAAACATTTAAAATTTACTGAACATTTTACTATTTATATATTTATATAAGGAATATACAGTCAACTTTAGTAGTAGGGATACTTCTAAAAAGTTATTATTTTTAAGTATACAAACAGGTTTTGGTTACAAAAATGTAAAATTATATATATTATTATCAATATCTGACGAGCATTCGGTCTGTTTACTAATATTTACTTAAAGTTAAATGCAAATCATAATCTCGTTATATATACAAATGTATATATATTTATTAATGATTGGAATGCAAAAGGCAAAGTCCGTGAAACAGTTGCCGTAACATTTGCTTGCACTTTGTACCGTACTTTATATTACTTATATATTCAAATATGTATTTTCTTTGTACTTACCGAGGCGTTGGGATGTTGCTCTCGTTCAGCAGCGTATATGAAACATGTTCCTGAACATTTAGGTTTCTTAACTGCTGCAGCCCAATTGGCGAGTATTTCAGGATCTGTACGAGAGGGAGAGCGAGAAAGAACAATATAGTAATAAGCAAAAAGTCACGAGCTTCTGATTGGAAAATAATACAGGCAAGGGCATGACGCATAAAATAAACTCGAAATGATGTCTGTAGGTCATAAACAAAAGTCGTTTTTTTGCAAACAAACAAGTTGAGGGAGACGCGACAAATAACGGCATCTCATCATGTTAATCAAATCTAATTCACATAGATTAAATTTTTAATTAGTGGGCTCGTCTGCGATAGCAACAGTTGTCAACTATGCCCACGGTTCATTGATAAAAAGAGATCAATTTTGGGTTTGTCGTTCAAGGTCCCATTTTTACCTTACACATAGTCGACCATTGCGTCACACACACACATACGCACCTTTCCTACGCATAAAAAAACAACAACAAATTGATCGCAAAGACCGACAGTCAGGTGGCTGTTTGTGCAGCGCTCTCGTGAGAGCAGCGTTCACCTTGTGAATTTGTTGTTGGTTTTAGGTGCTCTTTTTTGCAATTATGTAAAAGTACCACGGCAAATTATGCATTTGTCAATGTTGCAGCACACTTACCTTTGTCACCGTTTTGGGGTTTATTGTTTCAACAAAACTACCCCCTGCACGCGCCAAAAAAGATGCCATTTTTCGTCTAAAATGAATGAAACTAATATGAATTTGTTGGCACTTATTCCAACACAATCTACTACTCACTTCGGTCGCCTTCTAATATGTATTCATTTAATAAATTTGTTATCGATGTTAATTTTAGTATGTTTTATACGGGCACACAACTGTAAAACATCGATTTGTCGATAGGTAGCTAAGTCGTTCCTCGACTGAATCAAATCCAGTGACTTTAAAGGGTGAGCAGCTATGATTTACATAATTTGATGCAAAACGAGGTTATAAACCCCCTTTATGTGTAAAGCCAGTTCATATTTTCATAGATGTTATGAACTTTCTGTGCGTAAGTTTAGTATCCCGCCAACTTCAGTGTCGCCTATCGGATCTAGCGATGTTCAAATTTTCGATTGCTCGCACTGAGGCGCTCAACTTGAAATACGAAAAGTAGATGTCATTTTATATAAATGACGCGACACGTATGTCATTAATACTTGTAATTTTTTAGTACGACAACGTTAGACGTTTGTGGATAGTACCGGAATCAAGTATAGCAAAAATAAAATATGGATCATAAATGGGCTTATAATCCACAGTTGCATGAGCCACATCAAGGCGATTCCCCTAATCAAACAATAGTGAACGAGAATCCTCTTGTACGCCACCTGCTTAACCTTATAGACGAGCAGAAACATCGATTGAAATTGGAGCAGTTTGCAAGATTTGAACAAGAATTACAGCTGAAAGCAGCGTTGCAGAACCAAAACAATTCACTCACAGAGAACAGAAAGCTGAATGCTATGTTAAGAAATGCCAATTATGAGCTTTCTGGGCTCAAATTGCAGCTAAAATCAGACCAAGCAACACAGCTGAAAACTGTTTTACATAATGAAGACACTTTGATTGCAACTAACAAAATGCTGCTTGCCGAGAATGCCGAGCTTGCTGCGTCCCTGGAAGTTAAGGAGCATCACCTATGCAGTGAGAAAACTAAGGCAGAGCAACAAATTGCACAGGTAAAATACATGTACATATGGATGCATTCCTAGTTAACCAACCTGCAATATTTATTCAAATTTAATTTTAGCTGAAAGAAAATCTAAATGGAGCCGATCGCGAACTGAAGCGGTGCCAGAATCATGTGTATGCCTTAACTACGATCAACGAAATGCTAATAATTGGTAATGAAAAACGCGACGAGATAATTTTTGAATATAAACGCAAGTTGCAGAAATACAAGAACTTAAGCATGTCATCTGACTCTGATTCTTTATCGAGAGACAGTTCTTTTGAACAGGTAGAGCAAAAGGCGAATAAATCTCTAGAAGAAAGAACTGGGAACAGTGTGGGTGAGTAGACAAGCTGATGCATATTTGTATAGCTGGTATAGATCTATTTGAAATATCCAAAGAAGATCAGGGCTTGCCCCACAACACCAATGCATCGCCTATTCATTTGGAAACTTATGCCGAGTTTCGTCGAAATTTATGTAAAGTAGTTGAAAAATCAACTGATCAGGATCTGTGCACGCTATGTGGCTGGCGCTCGAGCAGCGAGGCAGAGCTTAAACTTCACCTGTTTGAGAAACATGAAATGGAATCGCTGTCATTGATGTTGGATAAGTATTGTCTGGATTAGTATTTCACGAAATCTTATATAAATAGCATTCAATGTGCTTAAGAAGTTCCCGACTGTAGAGGTGCACTCCCGGGATTGCTGAATATTATCCGTCCATGACATTGTTGCATTTTTGTGTACTTTTTTTATTATTTATTCTTTTTTTTTTTTTTGATTTTACATTGCTTGTTATGGTTGGACATACAAAAAAAAAAAAGGTTACATCATCACATACAATTAACATACATACAAGAGAATAAATAGGTTTAATAATTCTAATAGTTACACAAATGAATTTAGATTATTTAGCTGAGTTCTCAATCTGGCAAACGTACACTGAAAGAAAGCACGCCGCATTAGCGCGCACTTCGATTGGTGTGCTTGGTGTACAGTGTACGAAATTTTTTACACTTTAGGGACGAAAGTACGAAAATTGAGCAAGTGCTTCACTTGAATGGGCTTAGGCATAAATGGGAAATCAACCGCGGCATTGATTCGCTGCAAGCCTTCAAGGGAAGCAAATGCATTTTCATGACGCCGACAAGGCACATGGCTCAGATGTATAGATCCCGATCCTGATGCACTGTCCAGCACCGGTTCTCATACATGAGCATGGGCAGAGTCAGCCGGATAGACAGATAGAAAACAATAGATAGATACATTAATAACATTGCAATGCTTTTTTAAAGTTGCATTTTCCATTGAACTCTGTGCGGAGAGCACAATGCAAAATGTGAAGAGAAAAGAATTTTGAGTATATTTTCAAATGTTTCTCGAAATCAAATTGGTTATGTAACGAAATTTTGGCAAAGCTTTTGGGATAGCAGCAAAAGCAAAATACCAAAAATTCGATACATAACAAAACATATTGCTTTCGAGCCCTATAAACTTGATGATGTTCTGGAATCACATATAACAATAAACACTTAACACATATTTATCACATAGATTTACAAATAAAGACAAAGACTAACACAGAACGAAACGAACGAACATAAAACACATTAAAAACTAACATTCGAAACTACATTTCTGTTTTTAAAACAACTCTGAATGCCGTCACTTGAAATGAATGTAAAATTTAAGCCTGGTGCCAGACCGGCGGCTTCCTTAGTTCAGCACCACATCTCTCCAGCTCCTTAGCTCTTCCTTAATACTCCAAATTCGCTTCAATCATCTGAAGCACACGCTGCCGTCCGATTTTGTTCCAGAATACATGTGGCTCAGCTGAGCCCGTCACACTACGTGGCCCGCTATAAAATAAATATTGAATATTGATTAGGTTTTCCAATTAATAAAAATTAATAAACTAAAATACAAAAATTTATTTAATTGGAAAATAACATGCATGGTTTCTGTCTTTCTATCTTCTATAGCGTTACTAAATAAAATTAATAATAAATAAAGATTAGGTCTTAGACGTTAACGAGGGTAGTAAAAAAAAGTCAGCTTAACATCTTCGTTAAGAGACTTTTTCTTTGCCTACTATTATCGCATAAATGCCAATATTCTCTTTTCGTTTACTGAACAAGTATTGAACATAATAATTGAAATATTACCTAATTTACATGCACAGTTCTAGCTGACAGATAACTTACTTCTGGAAGCAATCGAATCGCACGACGCCATTCTCGTTGATCAGACAGGAATGTATATCAATAACTTTCAGGTGTCGCCCCTCGTTGCGTATAAACTTGTTCAGGCGCAACACCTTGTCGCATGTCTGCTTGTCGTGGCGATAGTTGGCCAGCGGTGCGAGCGTGGTCAGCACAGGTACAAATCTACGGCTATGCATCTCCTTCACCAGCTGACGGAAATCGTGCTCGATCTGCACTAGCGGCCTGCCACGCATTATATCCACGGAGCCGATATTAACGATGATTTGCGTCATCTCCGGCAGCTCGACAAGTCGCAGCCGTTGCCTGGCCGCATTGATCGTCTGTCCAGAGATGCAGAGTCCAGACTGCAGCACCTTCTCGTCTATTTATGGGTCGATGCGAAACCAAACACGTGAGCACACAAATATCAATACCAATACCAAGACCAAAGCAATCCATATTACACTTACACTTCTTGAAACGGCACTTCAGCTCCATGCGTGCCAGATACAACAAGAAGTCGTCGCCCAGCAGTGGAAAGTCCAATAGATATGCATCATAGTCCGAGTTGATGGTGAACATGGAGTCATGTTGCGATGGACATGACAACGTTGTTGGCGTGGGTGTGAATTCGTTTCGCCTCTTATGTGTGTACTCCTCCAGGTGTTTCAACTGCTGAACTACTTGTGGTTGTTGTTGTTGCTGTTTGTGCTCTGCCGACGGTGCTGCCTGTAACTGTGCAGGATTCAAAGTGTTCGAGTAGATGTTGCTGCTGTTGCTATTGCTGTTCTTGAGAGCATTGGGCTGCGGTAGCTGATACTGATTCTTGCTGCAAATGAAAAGTTGGTAGATACAGATACAGATACAGATATAGATACAGATTTAGATATAGATATAGATATAGATATAGATATAGATATAGATATAGATATAGATA